GGGTCGCAGTGGCGCTACTACGAGTTTGTCGTAGCGCTACGCGGGAGTGCGCAAGGGATCTTTTTGGGGACAGGGACAGGCCCTTGTCCCAAAACTAGGCCCACAAGGGTGAGATGCTGGCTCTTCCCATCGGTCAAGTTGTGGGAGGCCAGGGGATGCGGTCAGATTGAGCTGTGGGGATCTTTTGTGATATGAGATAAACAGGGTTGTTTACCATCTCGGTTAGAGGAAGAGAAAACGAAGTCCAGCTGCAGCTGAAAAGAAATTCCAATCACAGGCCAAGGATGTCATCAGTCAATAATGGCAACTCCCAGAGCCAAAGGTGGCCGAAACAAACAATGACCAATTGCTCGCGACACCTCTCAGGTCCGGCTTTGCTGCCAAGTAGGTGTATGCAGGACACGAGCAAGGGGTAAGAACGAACCTGGAAGAAGAAAGAGAGACAATGGGAAGAAAAACAAGAGTCAAGCAGTGTGTGGAGAACGAGACAATGTCTCTAAACATGACGGCAGGTTTCGCCCAATAGCGGACGACTCCGAGCGAGAGAGCAAGAAACAGGAGAGGAAAGCAAGGGGAGAACGAGGAGCAGTGAGCCCCCAGAATCCCAAAGACAGGACGGCGTCGTAGGGACGGCGTCGTAGTTGGCTCCGTGTCCCTTGCCTCGAACAGCGCCGATCTCCCTTGCGTCGGGGACGTTAAGGGTAGCCTGTCAGCTAAAAGCGACAAGAGGAGCATAAACCCGACAGGACAAGGAGCGAGTTCCGTATGTCAACATTGCGACCTTTACCGGAAGGTCATAAAAAGAAAAAGAAAGAAAAAAGAAAGAGGACCGCCCAGTTGGGTATTCTCCGAAAAGCAAACGGCCCCTGCACAAGTCGCAGAGAAGGTTTGTTGAGAAGGTTTGCCTTTTGCATAGTCCCGAGGACTTGTGCCAAGAAGTTTGGGTACCACTGGAACTGTTCGAAAGGATAATAGGAAGACAACTTTGGTTGGGGTTGAGTCTCAAAATGAGACGTGACGGAATAATCCGACTCTCTTCCATCGGTCTATCGGTCGCTGTCGTGGCGGTTTAAATAGGAAGGACCAACTCGAGGTACTTCCATTCTCGTTCAGTATTAAGTACTATATAGATACATATATATATTAAAACAGAAAAACAGAAAAACATCAACAACAACCTCATAGTTTTATCACAACATAACAAAAAAAAAAGAGCGAATTCGAAAGCGGTGCTTCTGTATGAGAAGCGCATCAGGATTTGAGCCCGATGCGGGGGTCGAACCCGCAACCTTGAGATTAAGAGTCTCACGCTCTACCGATTGAGCTAACCGGGCGTTCAGACTTTCTCGTTCTTGATTGATGCAACGATCGCTTATTTGCATATATGAAGGTGGTCTTGAATCGGCTGACTAAGCTTAAATTCTTTGTTGGGCAAGAAACAATTTCTCTTTTTCGCTGCCCTCTCACCCGCAACCGTTCCACAAACAAGCCCAGCTCTTCGTAACATGCAAACTGAGAGGTGGTCTAGACGTACCCTGTCTATTCTGTACGTCTGCCATGTTGCGCGTTCATTCCAACCGTCGGCGACTGGCAGCGGCTTTGACGTGTCTCAAATCCGAAAGACATTTTTGAAAACGGCTGCAAAATGGCTGTCTCTTTGATTCATCCGGGCGTTGAGTCTTTGGCATCGAGCAAATGCAGTGTTTACATTGTCTCCTTGCAGGACAGGGAGGCCGACCTCAGACTTTATCACTTCAGACAATATTTGCAACAATGTTTTGGTTTTCTTCTTTCTCTTTTCTTTTTCTTCCCAAACCTCTCTCATCGGCCTTTCCCCATATTGAGGAACGGTGCGTCGTATTTCAAGGTTGTACGGCGCACGGAGTATTCCTCTGTTGTCGTTTCTCGGTCATGATCGATCTGGAAATGCGCATCCTTTGAGCTTTACCCTCAATCGAGTACGACAGTCGCATTTTATCGGCCGAGCGTCCGAGGTTGCTCCATAGCGTCCTGTCAGCTCTCACATTTGGTGGCAAAGGCCGTTCGGTTCGTCTTCCGAGGCCCAGGAACTAGGGCAGCCAGGGTAGCCAGGACAGCCAGAGCTGACCCTCGACAGCCGAAAGAGGGTGCTGACCAGGCTAACCTGGGATGTGCTTGTTGGAGTTCATTGGACTTGGTCCCGGTGCCCGTCAGCCCGTCTTCCGTCTTTGATGACCCCTTGCGAGCTGATGTGGATCTGCGTGGGATGCAACTGGAAAAATAAAAGGGGAACACAGCTCGAGTGAAGCTTAACAAGCGACTTGCCGCGCAAGGGATTTTTGGTTCTCTGCACGCTCTGACGCTCACTGATTTTTGCTTCTTCTTAGTTGTTGTCTCTGCGCGAGGCCCCTTCAGGCAAGGATCAACGGCCGCTAGACCACCCGTAAGGGAGCGGAAACCAAGACATCTCCCATGTCCTTCTTAGCGCAGGTCCCGCTGTTAACCTTTTGTCGTAGTGTCTTGGATGATCCTCTTGGTTCTGGGGCTGCATCTGTGCCTTTTTCGAACCCTTTTGTAAGTCTTACCTTGCATTGGAGGAGTCGACCTCGAAAAGCCGCAGCTTCGCCTCAATCTGTCGTCTGGACTAAGACAAGTGAGAGAGGGGCTGATGCAAGGGCCAGGAGGTTGACAAGAGGCAAACCAATGGGCCACCAGAAAGAGGAAGCTATGGCCAGACCAAGTGCACATGCATGTGGTGGACAGACATCCGGAGAGACATTCGCGTGAATACGGGGAGCATGTCGAGCGCCGTAACAGATTCGAGAAAGACCTGACGACCTGGTCTCTTTCGGGACGTTTCTTTTGGAGACCCATGTAACAGTCTGCTGCATTGATTTTATTGAAGTATTTTCATCACATTGAGACCCCTGCTTGCATGTCAGGTCTGTGTTCAGGACCTTTTATTTCTTTTTATTCCCTTTTATTCCCTTTTTATCATCCGTTGGATTTCCATCACATCGGGGCCTGGCCTTTGGATGGAGCTGTGCATGGGTGGTTGCCTGTCGATCCTGGCTCTACTTCGTAGTCGGAAGCCTTCCAGGGCCGCGGGTCAGTTTTGGCTTCAGCTCAAGGAATCAGCGAATGTCGAGGAGGTGAGCGAGCCAGACAGAAAAGTGATAGTGTGCTGCAATGCCCAGGGGCATTGAAACGAAAACAATACACAGGAGGCGAACAAGAACGCACAGACAGTCAGTCGGGAAGTACCTTGTCGTTTATGAATTGGGAAAGCGATTTAGAAAAACAAAAAGAAAATAAAAAGCCTCTTGGTCCAAAAGAGGCAACAATCACCGCATATCTCCATGTCGGTTTTTGTGGTGGAATAGACGTCCTGCAGCTGCGAGCATGGTCACGGAAAAGACGCTGCAGTTGTCCCCCACGCATGCAATATGCTGCACATATTAGCCATACAGAGACGTTGGAACAGCACAGAAGTTTGTGGCTTTGGTAGTACGACATAAAACCTCGCATTGGATGCGGAGCACAGAGGTCTTTCCAAGTGGAGGTGCCGGTTTGTCTGCCGGATGATACCAAAGAACGGTAGAGGGGGTGGGTGGGAGGAAAAGACAAAAGGAAAAAAAGAAAAAAGAAAGAAAAAAAAGAAGAAGAAGAAAAAAGTAATAGACCATGGGTGCCTCGATACCGACGGCTGTTTTGGTCCAGCTCTTGTACGACATACTTATGCTCCTGTACCCACTCCACCTTCACTTACAACAGCTTAGCCAGTCGACTTGCATCGTTTGAGTGGGGGAGGCTTGAGCTGGAAGAAACGCTACTCTTGTATTTTCCGTACGGCATCCACAGTCGTAGCAAGGAGTACTCTTTTTGTTTGTTATTTTCCCTTTTATCTTTCGCCAAGCTTTCCTGCATTGTACTTCTGCCAATAGACGGCCACATGTGTCAACAGTCATGACAGGCATAGTCGACTGGAGATAACAAAGGCTGGAGCATTGTGTCGTCAAGTCTTCCATCCGCTTGCTGTGCTCCGTTTGGTCCCTGCAGACCCTCCATGTTCTTGCTGGATCGCCACATCTTCCTTGCCTCCTCGTGTCTCTGACACAGCATGGACGCACTGCACTCGGAACGCCTGGATGTATGTCTCACTCCGGTTCGTCGCCGCCCTGCATACGAGCACGATCATGTACGGCACGGCGCTAGAAGGACTGAAAGGGCATCTCGTCCAGAAGAAAGAAAAACGAGTTTGCCTGTGGTTGGGTGCATTGGCATGCCGTCCTGCCGCGAATCCTTGCCCAGTCTGGCCCGTCCACCACGCTCCCGGGACCGCTGCAGTCGCTCGTTGCTTTTCTTCGTTTTCTTCTTTGGTCGTAGTGTCCATTATCACTTTCTTTCGGTACGTGGACAGCGTGTTCCCGGCCATCTCTTCCTTTCCTGCCGTCCTGCCTCCATCCCTTTTTTGAATCAGGCGGGCTACTCTGGGGCTCTTTTGCCTGCCCACGCGCTGTCTCCTCCTACCTTTACGACAGACGTCTCCCCTTGCATTTCGTTTCTCGCTCCGCGGCCTCCTCGGCCTCCGCCTCACGTTTTAGAGTCGTCTTTTTGACTGACCTTTGCGGAGTACTACTCCTTTTCTTTTTCTTTTTCCATCACTCCTTCCACCCACTTTCTGTTTATCGCTTCTCCATTAATACGCATTGATCGTCCTTCTTCCTCAGTCTCCTCTCAGTCTCTTTGGTTATCCCCTCTCCTTGTTGTTTTTCTCTCTTCTCTGCGTCCCACTCCCATTCCCTCTCTCCTCTCCCTTGTCCATTTCTCCATTTGCTCCGTCGTCTCCATTCCCACGTTTTCTCTTTTCCTTCTTCCTCTTACCCGTCATTTCTTTCCATCCAATTTCCCACGTTACCAGCCTTTCTTTGATTTTTACTCTCACAGTCTCATCATCGTACCTGAAGGCAACATCACGTTTTCATACCAACACGTACACGTCCGTCTCGGCATCACTCACCATGTCGGACACCACGAGCAACAAGGAGTTCATCGAGATGTCCTCCGACGGGGTCAACAACAAGGAGTTCGTCGAGATGTCGTCGGAAAGGGCCGTCTTCGAGACGAACAAGATCGACGCCAAGGGCGGCACCGAGGCCGATGCCCGCGAGATGTCGATGCTCGGGCGGACGCAAGTCCTCAACGTACGTGACTCTCCTCTCTCCTCTCTTCTCCCAGATCCTCTCTAGCATCCTGCTCACCTTCACAGCGCAACTTCCGCTTCCTCTCGACGCTGGGCTTTGCCTGCACGCTCATGAGCACGTGGGAGATTGCCCTCATGACGACCAGCTTCGGCCTCGTCAACGGCGGCAAGGCCGGCCTCGTCTGGGGCTACCTGATTGTCTGGGTCGGCTACATGCTCGTGTTTGCCTCCATCGCCGAGATGGCCTCCATGGCGCCCACGTCCGGCGGCCAGTACCACTGGGTCTCGGAGTTCGCCCCGCCGCGCGCCCAAAAGTTCTTCAGCTACACCATCGGCTGGGTCTCCGTGCTCGGCTGGCAGACCGGCCTGGCCTCGCTGGCCTTTCTGGCCGGCACCATGATCCAGGGCCTGCTGGTCCTGGCCCAGCCGACGTACGTCTTTGAGAACTGGCACGGCACCCTGCTCGTCATCGGCATCACCGCCTTCTGCATCGTCTTCAACACCTTTCTGGCCGGCCGCCTGCCCATTGTCGAGGGCACCGTGCTCGTCGTCCACGTGCTGGGCTTCTTCGCCGTCCTGGTGCCGCTCTGGGTGCTGGCGCCGCGCTCGACGCCCGCCGACGTCTTCGGCACCTTTGGCAACCTCGGCGGCTGGGACACGACGGGCCTCGCCTTTATGGTCGGCCTGCTGTCGCCCGTCTACACGCTCATCGGCGCCGACTCCACCGTGCACATGTCCGAGGAGGTGCGCGACGCGTCGCGCGTGCTGCCGCGCGCCATCATGTGGGCGGCCACCATCAACGGCTCCATGGGCTGGGTCATGCTCATCACCTTCTGCTTCACCATGGGCGGCGTCCTCGACATTGTCGACACGCCCACCGGCTACCCCTTCATCGCCGCCTTCTTCAACGCCACCAACAGCATCGCCGGCACCGCCGTCATGACCTCCATCCTCATCGTCAACGTCACCTCCGCCTGCATCAGCACCGTCGCCACCGTCTCGCGCCAGACCTGGTCCTTTGCCCGCGACTGCGGCCTGCCCTTCTCCGACGTCATCGCCCACGTCAAGCCCGGCTGGAACATCCCCCTCAACGCCGTCCTCCTCACCTTTTCCATCACCGCCCTGCTGTCCCTCATCAACATCGGCTCCTCCGTCGCCTTCAACGCCATCGGCTCCCTCGCCGTCAGCGCCCTGCTCGGCACCTACCTCATCTCCTTTACCTTTCTCATCCTGCGCCGCCTGCGCGGCCCCGCCCTGCCCTCGAGTCGCTGGTCGCTCGGCCGCTACGGCCTGGCCGTCAACGTCGGCGCCGTCATGTACCTGTCCGTCGTCTGGGTCTTTGTCTTTTTCCCCCAGGCCAAGGACGTCACCCTCACCACCATGAACTGGAACGTCGTCATCTTTGTCGGCACCATGCTCTTTTCCGTCGTCTACTACTTTGCCTACGGCCACAAGCGCTACATGGCGCCCGTCAGCCTCGTGCGCCGGCAGGAGTAGAGGACAGCGCCTTGGTGATTTCCCCTGAAGAGTTTGCGTAAAAAACATTGTTTCGACGATACCTGTATCTCCCTTTGGACATCGTACTTGATCCCCCGTTTGTTGATACGATTACGGATGGTTGTTTTGACGTCTATATATTCACATTGATAGAAATATCCAGTCTTTTTGTTTGCTTCGTTGGCATTGATCAATTTGGTTGCTATCGACTATGTACTTGTACTTCATAACGCCGTGCCACTACTTCTTCGAACCGATGCCCATAAACAAGCTGGCCAGACCCCGGAGCGAGCCTCGATTCGAGTTTGCATTTGTGCTCTCCCTGTCTGTGCCCTCGTTGGTGTTGCTGAAGCTGCTGGTGTTGGTCTTGTTCGTTGTGTTTGTGCTGAGTGTGCCATGCCCGCCGCGATTCGCCTGCGTCTCTTCCTCCAGGTCGTCGTTGTCGTTGTTCTCCCCGTCCGTCACATCTCCTCCCTCTCCTCCGTCACGGTGGGATGGCGCGTCTCCCTAGCACTGAATCACGCCCTCGCCCGTCGGCGCGCTGACGTCGTACGCGAGGTCCAGCTTGACCGACCGGCCCGCATTGAGCTTGACGTCCCACACAATCTCGCCCGCCTTCTTGAGCGTCGCCGACGCCGTGCCCCAGTCCTTGGCCGCCGTCCCCGCCGCCGTCTCCGTTCCCGTCCCCGTCGCCGTCACCATGCCGACACCCGCCGGCACCGGCCCGCCGCCCACCGACACGCCGCGCGGCTGCTGCAGCTCCACCCGCAGCTTCTCGTCCTCGCTCACCGGCACCTGGTCCAGCACCAGCAGCGTCACCGGCTTGCCCGCGCTTGCCCGCGTGTTGGAAATCGTCACCGACCGCCGGTACACGCTGCTGTCCTCCTTGGAGAAGATGCCCGTCGTCGCCCGCTTGACGTCCGGCTTCGGGTACGCCACGCGGATCGCCGGGTCCACGCCCAGGCTCAGCGGGAACGTGTCGCCCGCGCTGCACCGCGGCAGCGTCGTGCGCCCCAGGAACGAGCCGTCCAGCGTCAGCCCCGCCGTGCCCTTGAGCAGCGTCAGCTTGCTGCCGTTCTTGAGCTTGGCCTTGAGGTACGCCACCGGCTTGTACTTGGCCACAATCGTGTGGCTGAACACCACCTCGCGGAACGCAATCCGCGCCACCCGCTGCTTCGACGCCGTCGACCCGGGCGCCAGCGTCTTGAGCCCCGGCAGGTCGTACGTCGTCGTCATGCCCGTCTCCTCAAACGACGACTCCTGGAACTCGAGCTCCGGCTGCAGCTCGCCGCCCAGCGTCATCTCCTCCATGTACGCCGCCGCACCCTCCCCGGCGCCGTCGCTCGAGCCACCGTCTTCTTCCTCTTGTAATTCGTCTTCTAGGTCGTCATACCGGCGCGCATCGTTCGACGACCCAAAACCCACGGTCGGCTTCTTCATCCGCGCAGAGCCGCCGCCCCCGGCACGCGAAGCCGACAATCGAGCTGTTGGCGCCGGAGGTGGCAGCGCTGCCGGGGGCGCAGCTCCAAAGACGGCGGCAGCGTTCGAGGTCGTCGCGCCAAAGGACGACACGACCGGCGCTGCTCTGCCAAACAGGGCGCCGCCAGCCGCCTTGGCCACCGGCGCCTGCTGCTGCATCATTTGCTGCTGGGGCATGGAGAACGGATGCGACCCGGTCCAGCCAGCGCGGTCGCCGCCCGCATCGTAGTGTGTGGTGCCCGCGGACGACGACACGCCAAACAGCTCGCCGCGCGGCTTCTGCTTCGTGACCAGCGCGTTCTGCTGCTCCTTCCAGTCGCGCTTGTGCGACACCTCCTCGCGGCTGTGGAGGACCGCGTCGTAGCCGTAGCCCCGGCGCAGCTTGACGCGCCACGGCAGCAGCGTCGGGATCGTGTCGTTGAGCCCCGAGAACGTCGTCTGGCTCGTCGACAGAATCACCTTGCAGCCCGTCCACGCCTCCGCCGTCGTGTTGGTGAGCTGCGCGTCGAAGCAGAGCGTCGCCGTGTTGTTGGTCGTCGACAGCTGCAAGTCATACGTCGGCGACCAGAAGGCGGACGACGTCACGTACGAAATGGAGAGGTCGCACGTCGGGCCGCTCGTCGTCACCGCGCCGCCACTGTCGGCCCCCTTGTCGGCCCCCTCTTCGACGGCGACGCCCGCGCCCAGGTCCTTGTCCTTGGGGGCGGCCGCCAGCTCCGTCACGCTGGCAATCGACGTCCGCCGCGACGACGACGGCGTGTACGATGGCGCGTCCAGGGTGATGCGCACCGTGTAGCACTTGCGCGGCCAGTACTTTTCGCGCTCGCGCTGCACCCGCAGCTTTTCCCGGTGCGCCTCCGCCTTGCGCCGCTGCACCTTGAGTTTTTCTTTGCGCTTGGCCGCCTTGGCCTTTTCGCGCGCCCGCCGCGCCTTGTTCACCGCCTTGGCCTGGATCCGCAGCAGCTTGCCCTCGTCCTTGCCCAGCTCCCAGATCTGCTCGTTCAGCTCGCGCACCCGGATCGTGCCGGCCATGTGGTCGTCGAACACCTTGGCCCGCTCCGCCCGGTACGTCTCCACGCCCGCGTCAATCTCCACGTTCCGCTTGCGGTCCAGCATCTTGCCGTACGCGTCCAGGATCTTGAGCCGGCTCTCGGCGCTCGCCACCTCCTCGTTCGCGCGCTTGACCTCGTCGCGCAGTGCCTGCAGCTTCTTGCGCACCTCCTTCAGCTCGGCCGCCTCCTCCTCATCGCTGCTGTCCTCTTCCTCTTCGGTGTCGCTCTTGTCGTCGTCGTCCGACTCGGGGTAGATGTCCTGGAAGATCTCGCGGTTGGGCAGCAGCTCAATGGCAATGTCCGAAATAATGGCAGAGCCGGTGCCCTCGACCTTGATGGAGTTTTCGTCGACCGTCGGCGACAAGCCGACCACCGTAATTTGGTTTGCACCGGGCTAAGGTTGTTAGTGAGCGTCGCACGGCCTGCGGTTGGGGAATTCATTGTCATGTACGTACCTTGAGAGAAACATCTTTGATGTCGCGGACGACTTGCGCCCGGCTCGGGAACAAGGTGACCGTCCGGGTGGGGAGATCGCGCACGCGAAACTCCTGCTTGTGGATGGTATCCATGGCGGTGGAGTTGTTGGTGTATTGCAGTTCTTGGTGGTGGTGAAGTGGTGGTGGTGTAAGTGCAAGTAAATCGCAGAAACTCGAAATTTGACAGAACGGAGCAGTGCTGTAAACGAACAGCAACTGTGACTGTTGGTGGTATGTAGGTCAAAGTACGAAGTGGTGATGAAGAAGAAGAAGAAAGAATAAAAAAACAAAATAATGAAAGTCGAGAGATGGCGGGGAAATGCAGGAAACTTATACTCTGATCGAGGGCTGGTGCCTTGGCAAGGGACTTTCTTGCCTTGCGTGTCCAACGTCCGTCACTTTCGTGTGTGAGCAGTGAAGAAGCCGCTGTGGCTGAACCTGAAGTGAACCAGGGGCACAAAGTCAATCCTTCCCTTGATGGGAGCAAAGCTTGAAGCTATCTGGCGAATTGGCACTTGGCTTGACAGCCACGCTTTCACCAAGATGGCACCCAGAGGGGGAAATCAGACAGCTTCGAATTGGCTTTCATTCTCTCTCACAGAATTGAAGCTCGCCAGGGTGAGGCTGACCCCCGAAAGTGGTAAAACGTTCGACGAAAGGAAAACTAGGCTCTATTGTTGTTAGTCAACCAGCTAGGCATCCACAAGGCAGAGGCAAACATGCATGTGTAGAACTGACTGGCCTGTCTGATTGGCTTGTTGGTCTTCCCTCAACTCCGGCTTTGCTGCCTGAATGCTGGGCTGTCTGTCCACACTGCCGAGAATGCCTTGTTAGTTGCGGAGAAGGCCAGTCCAGGGGCAAGAAAGCTCAAAAGCAACAAAGAAGGACTGTAACGGCGATCCTTGGCAAGAAAAACAAACCCGCTTAATGGCACGGAACATAACGACAATTATGGGCCTAGTCGGGCTGCCTCTTTTCAGTGGGAGCAAAAGACAACCAGACAACAAGCAATAAAGAAATACAGATAGAAACCGATGTCCAGGCAACAAAAGCTCCCAAAGTCAGAGTCACACGATAGATTCAAAACATATTAACCCAAAACAGACAATTGTTGATTACCAAGATGGCCGTGGCACAAAACGAGCGTGGGGATACTAAAGTACAAAGAGTAGGAAAAGCAAGGACGAAAATAAATAAATAAAAACAGAGCTTGAAAAATACAGGAAGGGCAAGCGCAAAAGAAACGACACGGAAAAGGCAACCAGACGCCGAGAAATCAAAGACATATTCTTACAAATGAACTCATGGAGGTCATTTTTCCAAGGTGACGGAACCAGCGCGGCTGCTGAACAGCGACAGCACCCTTAGATCATCACCAGCGCGGCCATGACCGCAGCAAGGCCGGCGACTGTCCCCACAAGGTTTGCAGCACCACCAGCCCGGCCCGCCGCGGCGCTCCTCTGCTTCTGCCCGGCTGTCTGGGCCCACGAAGTGCCGTTCTTCTGGCCGCGCGGGTTGAGCCTCACGACCGTACCGGGCGCCGAAATTGTCTCAATCGCCGGCAGCATCGGCTCCAGCATCTCGCAGTTGGCCACCTGGTCGTCCGGCATCACCTCCAGTCCCGTTGCGTTGGTCTGGAACCGCAGCCGCTGGCGGCCCTCGGGGCCGGCCCACGCCGTCCAGTCGGGCATGCCGGCCAGCTTCAGGTCGTTGGGGTCGAGCGCCTTGACAAAGGACGTCCAGTAGGCCATGGTCGCGGGCACAATGGCAGCATTGCTCTGGCCCTCGCGGTACGACTTGGGCGGGTTCCCGTCGGTGTTGTTGGGCCCGAACACGGCGTTCAGCTCGACCGTGTGATAGGAACCGAAACCGAGGCGCTCCTGCTCTTCGTCACGCACCGCGAACCGGTAGTTGAACGTCTTGACGCCCTCCCGGGCAATGGCGTTCTGCAGACGTGCCGTGATGCAGTGAGCAGCGATATCACCAGCCGCATTGGCCAACGGCCTCCAAAGGGGCCCACTGCTGGGGAACTGCGCAAACGTGTTGGCCACAGCGATGACGCCCGTATGGTTCGTCAACAGGTACGTCGTGTTGAGCAGCGCCAGCGATGCGTTGGAGAGCACATTGAAAACGCGGTTGTCAATGAAACGAAGCGCCTGCCCGGTCGTGTTCGTCATGGACGGGACGTTCTTGGTGCCCTCGTCGGCGCAGGTACCAGCAATGATGGGAACATGCAGGAAGCGGCCTTCGTCGAAGCTCTGCAGCATGGGGCGGCGAACGAGGTCGTTGTCCAAGTGTGGGTTGAACTGGCACTGCTCTGTCTGTAGCGCGGTGGCATTGACGGCGCGCAGGCAGCTCAGTGTATTGGCAGCAAGCGTGCAGTTGGTCGCCTGCAGCAGGCAGTTGTACTGCTCCTGGCCCTGGTCCAGAGTGCGAAGCGTAGCCACTGACGGTGACTCCAGAATAGCTCCTTTGATCAGGCGCGGGTCTTGCTCATCCCACGCTGCGAGAAGCAGTCCTAGCGATGTGGCACCAGCGGAGTCGCCAGAGGCCACGATATGCTTGGGATCACCGCCAAACTAGTCGCATTGTTAGTCTGACTGTGTTTCAGGCGGATGTCAACACGTGGGAAGCAGTTACGTACCTGTGCAATGTTCTGCTGGACCCACTGCAAACCCTGGATCTGGTCCTTGAGGCCATTGTTGAGACTGCCGTTGTTCTGCACCTCACGGCTCTGCAGGAAGCCGTAGGGTCCCACGCGGTAATTGATCTGGACCACGATGATGTTGCCAAAGGTGGCCAGATCACTGCCGTTGAAATTGGCGTTGGAGTTGGACGAGAACCCGCCACCCTGGATGAAGAAGAGCACGGGCAAGGCACTGGTGTTTGTGGCGTTGGACGGCGCAAAGATGTTGGCAAAGAGGCAGTCCTCGGAGACATTGAACCGCTTGCTATGCATCGTAAAGTCAGACGGGTTGCGCGGCAGACAGACGGCTTGGAACTGCGTGGCGTCCTGCACATCCGTCGTCGTCGGCGGGTTGATGGGCGCGGCGAACCGTAGATCGCCCACCGGCGCCGCAGCATAGCGCACACCGAGCCACTGCGTCACTCCAGAGGACTCGATAGCGGAGCCCTGTAGTTGCGTGTAGTTGAGGGTGACGAGAGGGTCAACGGCCCGGGCAATAGCCGCAAGGCCCAAAATAGAGAGTACCTTCATAGTGTTCAAGGGATAAGGAAAGGACAATTTGGGGATGTGGTAGAAATATTGACCAGCAATGTAGGGTGTAAACTGAATTATAAAGTGTGATCTCGCCGAGACACTTGATAAATATTGGGCAGGTAGAAGGGAGCGTAAGAAAGGAATGACTAGGGAAGACTCAAGAAAGTGAACTGGGGATGATAAAAATGATCGGAGAGAGGCAGGATCGTCAAGTACCGGTCGACGCGGGCATCCTGCCATATATACTCGAGTCTGGCCGAAGACGAGCGCATCATAGGAAAGCATCGATCGTATTTCGGTGATCACTCGAACATCTGTCCATCGTCCCAGCCACCCAGGTATGCCTCCATCTTCCCCTTAACCCCTACTCAAGAGTCAACTTTCGCGTGGCATGTTTCTTCTTCTGCATCTGTGCGCCTTCCTGTCGCCGCTTCAGAAGATTGAACGGTGGCTCTTGATGGCAATTCGGCAACAGAAGTATTTCCATCCCGGCCTCCTTGACAAGATAGCACGGCCAGAGTCGTTTCAATCGTGTTTGAATAGTCGCCGTGTGCTCTTCGGTATGGAGAACGGATTCTACCAAAAAGGATCATGTCGGGTACAATTGTGAGCAAAGTCTTGTGATTGCGCGCCCTGGATCCATATCGCCAGTGCGCCGCGGCTCTGCTACTTCCAAGGCGGAACTCCGGGACGAAGAGTCTTCCATATTGTGCTAGTGTCTCGTCTGGGGTAATATTCGTCTACCTGGAACCGAGTCCTGGAAGGGAAACAGACCTGGGTGTGCTGGAAGGAGGCGGCCGGGTAAACAGAATTGTAAGGGCAGAGGGCCGTGTAAGTGTTTGGCAGATATTGCTCAAAGGGGAAATGGAAACAAATCTTGCCTTGTCCACGAAACAGGAGCAGTACCTTTACCCGGTGATGGCAATAGCCACGCAGAAAGTAGAGAGCACAATTCTTCACAGCGCACAGAAGAAACGAAACAATTCGTAGACTTCAAAACGACAAGAGGTTTTTCTGACACACATCGGGGGCTGCCATGTATGTCAGTGGCGTACGTCGTGATGGGATGAATTCTAAACGGAACAAATCCCGGATGATAGTGTATCTGTTGAGAGCCTCCTCGGATATGCTATCCGGTTCGACTTAATATTTTCTGATGTCTTTTGTGGCCATAAATCGTTTTCGTAGCCGAGCAACTGCCGGCCTCGCCGTCGCTGCTATGTCGTCACTTTTGAGTTGGTATTCGTTTTGTTTGACGTCAAAAACTCCTAGCCTATCTAGGGGGGGCGCCCGAGTCATTGCGTAGCTGAGGTGAAAGTCAAAAACAAGCAAAGGAGGATTAGTGGTTGAGCCGCGTGGTAAAGGACCAAGATCAAATTTGGCAAAATATGTCAAAACCAGAAATATCATTAATCATAGAGGCAAACCTTCCCCAATAAGTTCCAAGACCCCCAAAAAATGCGAAAACATGAATGTCATCATAACAAGCTCATACTCGTGATCACTGGCGACCCCAAAGAAGAACGCGCCAGCGCCAGCCCGAGAGCTGCTTCAAATCGGCCTCGTTCAGGGGCTCGTCGCCACGCTCAATCTTGGAACTGAGCCGCTTGAGCCGGCGGCCGACTGTGCGGGCCACGCGCAGCGAAACTTCGTTGCTGAAAATGTAGAGCACTGCAAAGACAAAAAAAGCGATTGAGGCTAAGCCGCCGCGTCGGCTCACGGAGCTGAGCATGCGGTCTACCAGCGACCGGCTGCGGACAAAGGCGTACTCAGTGTCATTGGCCGTGAGAATCGGGGCCGACGTGGTGCTGCTGCTACTGTCGTTGCCACCACGGCGGCGGAACAACCGCCGCACAAGAGGGATGAACGTGGCCAGCAATCCACCGACCAACCAACGACGGAAGCGGTGGTTCTCGGCTGCTTTGGCTTTGCCATACAGGGCACGCCGCACCTGGCGCAAGTCCCGCAGCACCGAACCGGTCTGGAGGCGAAGCTGATCCTGCACAGCAGCAGCCGTGCTGTTCGGAACGTTGGCGGCACCAGGTCCATATTGCAGGTGCTGGCGTTGTTGGCCCTGCAGCTCCATGAGGCGAATCAGGCCGCTTTCAACAGACGCCCGTGCAGAGCGGATGTCGGACTTGGTCGCAGTGTCGTTGGCGTATATTGGACCTGGAGATTGCGTCAAGACCGGCGCAGCACTAGAATGCGGCCCGCCACCGTAGCCCCCGCCTGGGCCACTAATTCCGGGAGCTCCGCCAACGCCGCCAACCACGGGTGCGCCAACCGTCGATCCAGCGGTGGACATGGTCGGCTGGGGTGGGATTTCGACCATGGAGGGCGGCGCGGATGGGATGTACGGCGGAAACGGCCGCTGGTCTTGCTGCTTCTGCGGCAGCAATGACGGCATTGAGTCGTACGGTCGGTAGGAGGGCGGACGTGAGCTACCGTCGACAGTATTGGTGCCATTGATGCGGGTGTCGTCATTGCGTCCGCCTGGCTCCGATGCAGGCAGGCCAGATGACGGAGGCGGGATTGGCGGGTAGTTCCCGGGCTGCTCAGGCCCGTATGGCGATGGGTAGTAGCGGTCCTTCGCCGGTGGGGAGGACGACTTTTCCGGCTTCTCTGAGGAACTCATGGTGTCGATTTTGCTGACCGTCAATTGATGAACGGAGTTTCGATCAGATGAAACACGATAAGAGGTGGTGTGGTGTCTCTCTTAATCCCTGTTTTAATGTTTCTGGGTCCTATCAGCCGCAGGGAAACAGAGAATGACGTTGAGACAAAAACACTGTAGAAAATGTGACGGCAGTGGTCTTGGCATGGGCTGGGGTATCAATAAATGCTGGTAAAGTGTGTGCTTACATATTGCAGTAAATCCCGAGGTACGAAAGTGCATGGCGATTTCGAATAATTGAGGAGGCTGGGATTTGTGCGTGGACATTGAGCCAGCAAAACAAGTCAAGTTAAGTGATTGGGCCAAAGGAAGGAGAAACCGATGGGAAGAGGGCAAAGGCGAGTGGGGCGGCTGCCAGATCCTATTGCATTGATGAGCGCCCAAATGATCGAAGAAGTGTGCGTGGGAGATCGCACCACACGGTGACAGAGTGTGTTGTTAAGTTTGTTGTCATGAAGGTCAAATCTCAGTCTGAGATGAAATTCGAGGAAAAGGGGCCGTGGACCGAGAAAAGAAGACACAATGGAAGGAGCGCTGTTTTCTGGTAGACTTTGGGCAGTCACGATTTACAGCCTCAACAATGCTCTTGCCCTCTGTGAACCAATTCGGTCCTTCCAGTGAAACGGCCTGCAGCAATTGCACAGCTATTACCTCTGGCCCTGGAGCGAGCAAAATTTCAAAACTGTCACTTTATACATATCATATGGGAGCCGGCTCGTTTTTCATCCAAAATACATGATATTATGGCGCTCTCCGTCACCCTAAGTAACGATTTGACCCAAGCGCCAGGCCAATGCCAAAACATATGGTGTTCGTTTACACTTCTCCATAGCCACATCTATAACTTCTGTTCTGTTCGATCTCAGACCGAACGTTTACAGCCAAAGTTCCAAAACGGAAACCAATTCCAACGAAAAGAGTCGCTGCAGAGCGTCGGCTCAAGCTAGCATCTCGCTCGGATGTAGCATGTCGCGGAGTACCGTCAAGAGATCATCGAGCGCCCAACGGAGGACGCGGTAGGTGACGTCACCCAAGTTGGAAACGGCTCGCAGCGTGCGGCTCGCATCTACCTCCGCGACGCCCTTCAGGTTTCGCGTGGTATTGTCGTCGTCACAAACCTCGTTGGCGCCGCTGCTGGTGCGGTAGAGTGGTTGGAAATCCGGGCCAGTCACGATGGCAGCGCCGTGCGGGTCGCCACCGTTGAAAAACTTCCACACGAGGTACAACTCCCAGAGCCGGTCAGCACAGCGTTGCGCGAGCACCAGATCCTGATACGCACGCCGGCCGTGGTTGAGCATCTTGGGTCGCAGCCAAAGGGTCTCGCTGCGCCAGTAGGCGTTGGCAAGGTTCTCGAACTTGGCTTCATGTTCGGGGCACATGCGCGGCGAGGTAGCCGCTTGGAGGCGCCTCGACTGGATGTCGTCAGCGAGTATCTCGTCTTCGATGCTCTTGTCATGCCATCCGTCTGCGTCACCGGCATCTGCATCCTCGCTGCAGTTGTCCACGATGGTACCATTATCGTTGAGCTCAGAGTTGGCGCCTTCAGACGCGTCCAACGTCTGAGACAATCCGCTAGTGGAGAGCCCCCCCTGGCTTGGCTCTTTGGGTGCGGCCGTAGGGCTGACACGAAAAGTCTCGGTGATGATGTCTTCCAATTCTTTGGGGCCCGGTATGCTGTTGCCGCTGCTATCGTGGTCAACGATACCAACAGGCCCGCCATCGCACTCGATAATGCCGGCGCCGCCGTTTTGGCCTGCCTTGGGTTCAACCATATCTTCGACGCTGTCTCCGCTGTCGCTGCTGCTACTGCTGCTGCTGTTACAGCTCTCTTGCGGGCTTGGGCAATCGCATGGAACAGGGAGATCCTCACTAAATGCCGGGACGACGTACAGCGTGCACTTGGCTTCTGCGTTGCGAGCCTTTGCGATGCATATTTTGACCAATGCCGGGTCGCTTTCCTCGATGTGGCAACCGCAGTGCCACGCCGTGTAGCGTTGGATGATACACATGGTGAGGACTGTGATCTTCGGCTGCTCGTGTAATCTACAGTCTCGTGGATGGAATCGAAGGTAGCTCGCCAGCACTTCTAGACCGTGACAGGATTGTATCTGATATCGAAATTGTGAGTTATTTGTTGACGGACAAAAGGCCAAAGGCGAAGAAGTTCTCGTAATGGCTGTGTAAAAGCTTTCTATGACGAAAAGGAGAGCATGAAAAGATGAGGATTGGACACTTTAGACACACTTCTCTGTTTACCTTTTGTGGCGTCGTAGTGATGACACAAAATGGCAGGAGCGACCTGACGCTGAAAACGGCAGGTACGATCCATAGCCATGACGAGATCGGTGTAACACAAGAGCATCTCACGATCTGCGATGCTTGATAGATTGAGCTTAGAGCTAATGTCGCATGTTGTAAAAAGTACAAATGTCTTTCATAAATATAAATAGCCATTATTATTTTAGTTTGGTTTTCTTTCTTTCATTTTATTCCGTCTTTTTTTTTGTTATCGTATTTTTATACATTAAAGAAGAAAGTCATATTCCAACTTTGTAATAAATTGTATTTGTAATTACATTGGAAATAATTATGGACAGTACCTTGTATACAATATTTGCTTTCAAACTAGGGGACAAATGGGTAAATGATGGGACTGAAATACGGGCTCCAGATCTTTTTTTTTTTTTTTTTTTTTTTTTTTTTCCATCGACATGTCTCATGAGAGCAAAGGAAGCTACATAATAGAATATAGGAAGATAAATTTCTAAACGTCGATAATAACTGACTATGCAATAAGTATGCTACAATCTTCTCCGACTCCTCCAACATGTGGCCCTACGGCTCGTATCTCCTTAGCATGTAAACACGGCCGGCCCAGCAGGTTTGTACTGTTTGCCGCCGTTGTTGTAGATGTTGATCATTAGGCCCGGATCCGTTGCCTTGTATGCACCGGGGAATGCCACCAGATTCGTGGGCTTCTTGGAGCCGCCTCCCGACACGGAGAGCTGTGCGCACGAGATGTAAAACTGCGCACCACCGGCCGTGGACGCGGAGTGCAGCGCCACGTGCTCGATGCGGAACAGGTAGTCGCCGCTTTCGATGCACGAAGGCACCGTGAAGCTGACACTCGCTTTGTCTAACGGGGTTAGCAAACGCACAACAAGGGATTAACAAAACACACTGTGGGGTCATTTATATGTAAAACGTACTCTGTGATGGCCAATTCATCTGGCCCCCGCCGCCGGAGGGCATGTCCTGGTAAACCTTGAACCAAACGGAGCCGGAACCGTCCCAGTTGGCCAGTGTTTTGCCCTCGGGCACCTTGGCCATGTAGGCGGACAGCGCGCCCGGGTGGTAGATGTTGGGGTTGGCCGACCAGGTGACGGTGCCGCCGGCCTTGACGGCCGAGGTGGACGTGCTGCCACCGCCACCGGGCGTCAGCTGGTAACAGCGAATGGCCTCGGACGACACGTCGGTGACGGGCCCATTGCTGTAGTGGTTGGCGGTCATACGAACGGTCTGCCAGTCAGCGGTTCCCTGGATGTGCGGGAAAGTGTCTGTACAAAGGTGTTAATATGGTCATGGGCAAAGTCCTAAGAATGTGGAAGATAAAACGGACAGTGAGCGTTGGCGGCGGCCGCGAACAAGAGCGCTGAAAACTTCATGATGATGGATGATGAGATGACGACAAATGTTTGAGGCTGCAAAAATCAAATATGGCGCTGAAGAGTATTAACACAGATGTCTTGGCTTAAAAAAGCAGATTCTGGAAGGAACCGCCCTCTTTTAAAGCTGAGAAGGTATTTGTTTGTGACATTTCTTCGTATTATCTCGCAATATACAACAGACATGAACGCTTAAAAATGCCGCCCTCATGACCCGGACTATATGACGTTTTATTTTTCTGGAGGAAGAACTAATCACTGTAAATGGACGAACATGGAAAAGAATTCAAATCAATAAAGTGAACGCAAGCGTGTGGGGATGGGCCGCTCTCCGGATAAAATGGGGACAATTAATTGTCCTGTTGTGGAGACGGCAGGACACGCCAAAAAGCCCGTATATTGACAATTAAGAGGCAAAACACCAGAGGACAACAAGCAGCGTAGGAAAAGGACTATGAGCTAGTTTTCGGTAGTACTGAGTGTCAAGACAGAATGGTATGAAAAGTTGCCGGTCAACCGGTTATGGTGCCATCCAGTTCGCGATGCTTTTGAATCCTGGCAGTTCCCGGATCGTAAAACCATGGGACGGACTGTCCATCTACACGCCTTTACGCAGACGCAGCAGCGTCTTAATCTGGGCCGTGATGTCTGGCATCGGGAACTCTGTTCGGTTACCGGCGACCTCGCCGGGAACCCAAGGATCAAAAAGCCACTCGTCGATCATGTACACCGCGTTGGGTCCGATCTGGACGGCAGCCGTCACTACTGACCCGATGGTGGCGTTGGTGACGTCGGCGGCTGTATCCTTTGGTGGGTTGGGGATTGTGCCCACGTGCCGGGCCGTCGTCCAGCTGGCGTCGGGCGACACGAGCACCTGGATGCCTGCAGCGTGGCTCGACACCAGAAGAACGGTGCCGTTGTACATGGGCGGTGCGTAGATGGCGTCGGTGTCGTTGAACCGGATGTCTGGGACAATGGGGACCTCTGTCAGCGTGCGGGGCGCGAGCGGATCGCGCGTGTCAAGGCGGTAGATGCTGCCGTTGCCCGCGTCGTTGGCCAGCAGCAGGTTGCCCTCGGGCCCCAGGGCGACGAGCCCACCAAGGCCTGGGATGGTCGTATTGGCCGTCTGGAGAGGGCCGTACCATGGTATCACCTCTGTGCCGTCGGCATTGATGCGCAGGATCGAGCCAGGGTACGTGCCGACAACATAGGTATATCCGCGTTTGTCAGTCTCAATGTCCTGGAAGGCGCCGTAGAGTCCCTGGGTGGTGGCAGTGAGGTTGACGGTCCAAAGTGTAGTTTGCGTATTTGGATCCCATTTGAGAACCAAGTCGGTGCCGGACACATCAGCACCGGCCGTGGCCCAAGGCGCAGCCGAGCCGACGAGAATGGTGACCAAGCCGGTGAAGCGGTCCCAGGCGACGCCACCGATATGCTCTGTGCCTGTGTGGGAGACATTGGCAAACTCCAGGGTCGTGATAAAATCGTCAATGTAGGGATCATAGATGGCAACCGTAGCGTTCCATAACGACCTTTGTTGTTAGCAGATGTAACCGAAGACTGGGCGTACGAAGGCACCTGGTCGACTCACCCAAAGTAGACGAGACAAGAGTCACCGTCCCAGTCGGCGTTTTCTGGGTATAGCTGGTATTGGTTGATGATGAAGCTGCCGCCATGAACGTCCGGACAGCCATCGAGCCGGCCTCTTTGGTGCCGCTTTGCGAGCGATGACGACCACGTATCGGGGACAGGCGTGGCTGCCGCAAGAGCTGCCACCCACAGAGAGAATATCTCAAGAGAGGCTACTCCTGTTGTGAACAGACGCATGATGAATCGAAAAGAAAATTAGTTTAGAATATTCGAGGATCTTTCTAAGATTGTTGGGCCGGTCGAAGGTCGGATAGAACTGTTGCTGTGGGAGATTGAGGAACGCAGTCCTTTTTAACCGTGAGTGGCTCTTCTTCGTGCCTCCCACGAAGCCGCCATCATTCGCAGTCAGCGGAAGTCATATCGCTTACACCTGGTGAGCTGGCTGTGCATTATTAGGAGATCTGCAAAATGACCTGATCATGTCTCGTTTGGGTGCTCTGTAATTCGTATGCTTCATTCTTTTGTACCGGTGAGCTCTTTGCGGATATCCCGAAAAGGTTTACAGTACCAAGCTGCGTCTTCCGACTGGTCCAGACCCAGTACGGGAAGAAGAGGCGGCAAAAGGATGACGGAGCGAACGAGATAAAAAATGAGAGAGAAGGGGCCGGCTTATGTGTTTTCCATCTGAGACCTGTGGATGCCCAATGCATATCCGAATCTCCGAATACTGCCGGGGAATTGTCCTAGAAGAAAAGGAGAAAGATTGAAAAATTAAGAAACAAAACGACTTAACCTTGGCAGGTTTTGTGTTTGGCCCGTGTGTTGTCTCTTTCAGTCGTATTTCGAATCCACATCCGGCAGATGCGGCGCCGCACGCTACAGCCGGAGCGGCTGCACGGGGGCTGCTCATGTAATTATGGGTCGCCTGGTGTAAGACGTTTTGCGGCCAATTTGGTAATGCAGCACTATGGAGCAAAGTGTGATACGCACTTTCAAGCGTCTGTGACCGAGTCACTGCAGAGCGATGCAGCATAAACAGGAAAGCAATGTTGTTTGCGCGTTGTATTCGATATATATATATATACGTAGGCCGTGAACATGGAAAGGCTCGAGAGCCGCCCTAATCCAAAATTGTCCTGAAGTTCGCCGTAATTTTGTCGGCGCCCGATACTCCATCTATGTCCCAGCATTTCTCAACTCCAGTAGTGTTCGCGCATGGGCATTTTAAAGGTGTCGACGAAAATATTTTCCGCTGTGTTCCAAAAGTCGCAAATGGTGTCTATGCGATGCCGTTATGGATGTCGTCCAGAGCTATCCTTGACCATACCACGCCGGCCCGATTATCGTTTCATCGTCTACCACTTGGCCTCCTTGCTGTCAAGGAACGTTTCCAGAATCTCCACAATGTTTTTCAGGGCCGCCAGCCACGCGTTTAGTTTCGGCTTGAGAACATCGTAGTCCGGCGACAGCTGGGCGTAGAAGTCTTTGCGATACGGGCACGCAGCCATGGCAATCCTGAAGCCGGTGCGAGCTACAAAGTTGTGGTGTTTGCTGAGGGTTTCTTTGTATGCCCCGTTGAAGGACGTCTTAAGCTCCTCGGTATCGGTCTTGATGTTCTCGGACAGCGCTGTATACATGAATTCGAGGCCGCGGAACAGCCATAGCAGGCCCTCGGTCGCGTTGTGTTTCTTGGTCTTCAGCTCGTTGACGACAAGCGACTGTAGTGTCTCAGAGACACCGGGGGCCTCAAGCTGCCGTTTGCGGATCTTGGCAACATTGCCGAGCATATCGTCCTTGACAAGCTTGAAGGCCGTGGCACCGAGAATGTCTGTCAGAGCGTGTCAGCAAGTTTGGTTTTCTAGATAGCATCTTTCCCGTCCCATTTCCTCTGCTTCTTCCCAAGATTTTCCTGCCATTGGTTCCATACTGACCGAAAATGGTAATCAACGACTCAGTGGCTTCAAGGAAGGTCTCTGTGTCGATTGCCTTGGTTGCAGGATCAACGGGAACGTCGACAAAAGACTTCTTGAGCGTGTCGACGAATGTGACGCCCACGGGCGTTTCGGCAGCCATTGTCTAGGAAGAGGGGGGGTTGGGGGCTGGTGATGGACCGTGAGGAAGGAATTAATGTCGAGGACGGCACTGTCGAGTAAATGGAATTGGAAAACGAGAGCTGAAGAACCGAAGTGGCGGAGGCGGAGGAAACTCGTGTAGCGGTGGAGTGGTGTTGGCGAGCTAGAAACAAGTCAGCTTCGGACAGGGGTATAACTACGTATATTCGTATTACAGCGCCAATTGCCAAGTGGCACAGGAGACCAAGGAAAGGAGTAGAGGCAAAAGGGGGATGAGGGGTTGTTCTCAGTTCCTGAGCCGGGCGCGTGACGGCTGAGAGTTTGATTGGCTGCTAGTAGACAATTCATTGTTCAGTGCATGCACATGTATTCTCGAATGTCACGTGACTCTGTTTAATGTTTCCCAGTTCATAGTACCTAGAGTCCGATAACCCATACGGCCGCAGACTGTGAAGCAATTGCGATACTTTCCCCATACACCGCAAATGCTAAACCAGACCGATAGCGATTGGGCACCCAAAGCAAGAGCTCTCCGTCATTGGTGATCCATTCTCCATCCCAGCCCAATCCATGAAACCGTTTTGACCCCCCTGACTCGCCGCTATCGCCAGGAGGAAACACGGCGGTGATTCGGACACTTCCGAAGTCGTTGAACGTTTGGGTTCGTTGCCCGGTCGCGACATCCCAAACATTGACGCGACCTGGTGCGGTGGCGGACACCAGCGACCTTCCGTCCGGTGAGAAATCAATTTGCACGGCTATTGTGTCATTTCCCTCGAGTGAGTGAAGGAACGTCTTGGACTGCAAATCCCACACCTGAACGAAATCGTCCGACTGAAATGCGATTTTCGTCTCATCGAGTGAGAAGGTCCGCGCATAAAAACAATGGCAATTTTTGACTGTAAGTCTGCACTCGTCAGACGCCAAGTCCCAAATCTCAATATCTCCGTCTTCTGTAGCGTGTAGCAATTTGCTTCCGTCCGCCGAGGCGACAATTTCGAAAGAACCACTGCGCATTGTCTTTATTCGCTCCCACGAGCTGGTTCTCCAGATGTCGACTACAAAGTCGGTCGTAACCGTTGCCAGTCGTTTCCCGTCAAGTAAAACGGCCACGGCTATAAAGCGGCGGTCACCATCGAGGATGCCATGGACAAACTCTCCCGAAGCCGCATTCCATATATTAACAGCGCCGTCCGACGAGACGGATGCTAGCGTCTGTCCGTCAGGGAAAAAGGCAACCGACTGGATCGTCCCTGTGTGCTTTTTCAGGACATGGCGACGATTGCCCGACGCCGGGTCCCATATTGCAATTTTCCCGTTGTCCATAGCTGCAGCCAAAAGGGAACCATCAGGGGAGAACACAATTCGATGGACTTCATATGAGTTTGGTTCAGTCCGATGACGGCGATGTCCGGATGGTAGGTCCCAGATTCGTATGATGGCATCTACCCGGCTTGCAAGAAGACATCGACCATTTGGCAATGCAAACATGACCTCGTGTCTCTCATTGTTGTAGTTAATTTCAGCAATTTTGTTGTCGTTGTCACGTGTATTCAGACATATGCCAGATGCGACGTCCCACGTGTTTGCTGTGCCATCGCTTGCCCCAGACTCGAGATGCTTTCCATCAGGAGAAAAAGCTAGATGGACGATCGTTTCACTGCTGTTGGTGAATAGCTCCACAAGTTTCTCTGACGCGACATCCCGGACCTCGATTTTTCCATTGTTAAAGCCGAATGCCACTCGTATGCCGGATGTGGTGCAAAGTGCCGACGATCTGAGGCTGGCATCGTATTGACGTCTTGAATAATGTATGCAGTCTCCTGATGCCACATCCCAAATCGTCGTTTCACCGTACCATGAGAACGACATCACATGTTTTCCATCTGGGACAGAAAAGGCAACTGATTCCGAGGATGTGGCTTCGCCGACAAGTGTAGTTATACAAATTGCAGATCGAATGTCCCACACCTTAACAGTCCCGTCGTTTGCGCCAGACACGAGTAGCTTTCCGTCTGGTGAAAAAGCGGTCTTGTTAACTATGTATTTGTGGCCACTGAGCTGCATGCACTGCTGCCAGTCATCGTCAAGCACAGGCTTTTTTTCTATCCAGTCTAGCTCAGGCTGCTTTTCAAAATATTGCTTGACTTTGCTGTTTTTCGGGCTGAACAGTACTGCCGATGCGTAAGCTTGAAGAGGAGATAACTCAAGACAGTAACTGTTCCACATGATGAAAGATACAGAGTCTCGAACGAATTCGGCAAAGTCGGACATTTCGTTCACCGGAACAAGATCTTGGAGCGCGCGCATGGATACAAGCCCGGCAGCTATTTTGTCCAACAGAGAAAGAGACTCCAGCCAGTGAAGGAGGTGAGCCAGTAAAAACGAGTAGATTGCTTCTCTGTCGAGTAAAGAAGTCCCGGCCTTCTCCCCTGAATGACCAACAGCATCTCGGAAGTGATCAATCCAGTAAATGCATGCATAGCGCACGGAGGCAAGCGGATCCGGATCGGGTGGAGGTGTCTCTCGGTCGTAGGGGCCGATGTTTGGAAGGTCGTACATGTTTTTGTGCAGTCGAGCCGACATGGCCCCCAAACACAGCCGTCCCATGTCTGCATGGCCTTGGGCAATACTAGTGGTCCCCAGCCGCGCAGTGTAGTTCTCCGTGAGGTAGTCATTGGCGGACTGGTGGATTAGTCCGACCGTCGTGCTCGTGAGCGTGAGGAAGGAGCCGCACTCTTCGACGATGCGGGCCGTCTGGTCTTCGGGCAGGTCGACGAACGTGGCCAGCTCCGCCAGAGACAAGGGGCGGTAGGCGTGGTAGACGGCCCGCAGTGCGGCTCTGCAGTACACCGGGTCGTCCTCGTCGCCTCGCTCGATGGCGACCATGATGTGGTCGTACAGCGCCGAGAGACCGGGCGGGAACTGCTGGATGGCCCGCAGCGCGTACATGCCGTTGAGCGTCTTGCCGTTCTTGTTTGGCTTGGTGAGCCGCTGAAAGACGAACCAGACCCAGAGATACGTGTTGTTGGCGCGGCTGGTGATCTCGCGGGCCATGTCGCTGAGGATGGCGTCTGTATACCCGTGCGCATTCGTGAGGCGCGCGAGCTGGTGGTTGATGTAGGCATGGACCGGCGCCTCGAGCCGCTGCGAGTCCAGCTCGACGAGCGCGCTGGCCTCGACGCGCGTGCCGAGAGACACGCTCGGGCGGCTGGACACGAGCCAGTTCACCTTGTCGGTGATGGCGAGCGAGTGGGCAATGAGGTCAATGAGCTCCGGCAGGCCGTCGTCGCACTCGTCGAGGGCGTCGACAATGAAGTAGACGGGCTCCAATTCGGGGTCCCGCAGCATGGTCTCCAGCATGTTGCAGAGGCCAACGAATGCGTGACGACCAACAAAGGACGGCTGGGCGTTTTCGTACTTGTCCCGAAGATGACGGAGCAAATGTGGCTGCTGTTGGAGCAGCATCCAGACCAACGTGCGCACGGCCGCCATGCTACTGTTGAGCGTGTTGTCGGCGTTCTGGAAAAAGAAGTGCGCGATGCCTGGGCTCAGAGCCGCCGGCCGCTCCGACAGCTCACGGACGATGCCGAGCAGAAGCATCGTCTTTCCCGTGCCAGCCGGGCCTTTGATCCAGAGAAGACGACTGTGCTGCGACATTGGTAACGACTGGTCGTCGTGGGCATCGATGTCGTTGGTAAAGACCCTGAACTCGGGCACGTCGAGGATCCATTTGAAGGCGTCGTCGAGCAAGGCGTCCTTTCTCCTCTCAATGGCATCCATGTCGTCTTTGGGATTGACCACAAACAGTTGCCGGAGCAGAAACCGGTCGTTCTCGCTCGTCTGCATCTGCCTCTGTTCGTCCAGAAAGTCCCGGATGGTCTTGTCGAGGTTGCCCACGAGCTCCATTGTCGCGGTTGCGCGGTCGCTGGTCTCTTGCAGAACTCGTCGGCCCTCCACGTTGTTGAACTGCTCCGATTCGATGCGCAGATTGGCCTCGTCTTCCTTGATCTGCGTCAAGCTCAAACTCCATTTGCTGCTGAGTTCCATTGCGTTCTTGACAAAAACAAGTCCCTGGTGACGGTAGTAGGTGCATACGCTCTCCATAAGAAAGAGAAGCAGCTTCCGATACAGGCCGACCACTCGCTCTCGCAGGGTGCTCAGAATCACCTCAATGGGCCGGCCGTTGGCCTCGATGCTATATGGGTCGAGCAGCTGGTCGGTGAGTGCGCAATACCATTCCATCCGCGAAATGACGTATTTCACGCCCTCAAGGTTCACCTTGTTTGCTTTGGCAGGTTTGGAGAGCAACTAGTAGCAAGGAGGGAGTCAAAACGTTAGACCAGTTGCAGCTGGTTGGTTGGTTGGGGGCCAAACGGGGCGCGGTTGCCATGTTGGCCGTATTTGGGGCCAAACGAGGCAGAGACTTACTTGGAGACCAACACATACACCGACCCAGGGCAAGGCAGCTGGTGCCGCCTGCGGAACGGTCTGGATGATAAACTCGGCCAGAGGCCTGGCCGCCAAAACGGCGTCGGCAAAGGCGCCCATTGTGTTGGTGATCTTGGCAGACTTTTCCACCTTTTTCAAGCCGGTCTGCACGAGACGGACCATGTTCCGTTGGCGCAAGGTGGCCATACTAGGCCCGGCCTCGATACTGTCGTCCACAGGACGGTCAATGTCGTTGATGCCGTCTTCATCTCCGAGAGTTTTGTGCAAAATTTTGAAATATTTCTGTGCCAGTTCTTTGCCCCCTGGGGTCTTTTCGATGCTGACAAAGGCTGCATCCCACAGCTCCTGTGATTTGCGAGCCGGAGTGGCACTGACTGTGACGTCGGGTTTCGATTGTGCCTCCGTTTTGACCTCTGTCTTGACCTCTGTCTTGACCACTGTCTTGACCTCTCTCTTGACCTCTGTCTTGGCCTCTGTCTTGGGCAGGACTTTTTCAGGTTCCGATTCTTGAATTGGTGACGGATTTGCGCTCGCATCAACTTCGTCTTTTTCTTCTTCTTCGAGGCGCACAACCGCAGAGTGTATATCATCGTCGGTTTCGGTCAGGATGTTCAGCTTGCAGGAGTCCAAGAGTTCCCGTACTTCTTCTGGCGTTCGATGCACACGTTCTGCCTTGTCTCGCTCCTTTTGTCTGGACTTTGGCCTCCCGGCAAGTATCTCTGACAAAACAGATTCTGCAGTGCGTGAGCTTTCTGTTTTATTAGTGCTATTACACTGTCGACAAAAACATACCTGGCGCGTGACCGCTCGATTCGTCCTTTTTAAACCATTTCTTGAAGACTTTGGTTTTCTTTTGCCTTGGCTCTGCACGGATTCGGGACAGCATCGTGGGAATGTGAAAATGTGTGTGAAATGGTGTCGAGAGATACGGATCAAAGATCACCAGGGTATAGTCGAAGATGGTGCAAGGAAAACAAACTAGGAAGGACAAGACAAAGTTATCGTGATCCTAAGACAATGCAAATGTTCATATCGATGGCATCTTTCGTTACAAGAGTGTTGGCCGTACTTTTCTTTCACGTTCCTCAAACAGACAAAACAGGCCCCCTCTCCCCTGCCTTTCTCAAGGAGGGTGGCCTCCTCCTCGCGGCCTGGCCATCTTGGAACGCGTCCCGGTTGGGGTACGACTGGGATGCCTTGCCGCCCGCCTTTACCCAGGGCTGTGCCTGCAGGCCGAGATAATTGGCTGACAATGCTTGTTTTGTTTCCCACCAGCCCATGCAGTTTTCAGGGCGTCGTACAGCATCCCGTTTCATGAGTAAGATATGTCCTCTTCTTCCTGCAGGGCAACCTTGGCTATGTCCATTTAATTCGTGACGTATCGTAAAGGAATATGGCAACTTTTGACAAAGTTGACGATAAAAGCACTGAGCCACATTTAATAGCTCTCTGGTTGGGCTAACTAGCCATCAGCGGCAGGAGCCGCATTGTTTAGCCATTCCGGGCGCTAAAAACGGTGGACCCTGGCGTGCCGCTCCGTTTTAGCGCTTCCGAACTGGCCAGACATAAAAGGTGTTTGTTGCTGGATGAAGGCTGGAGTAAACGGTTTCTCCGTTTCGCCAACGTCGGCCACGCGACATAGTTCCTAAATATGACAGACGAGGCGCTGGTAATATGGGATCTCTTCTCCGTAATGACTTCTCCATTCTCTAATAGTAAACCCCGTTGCACTGGCAATCTTGATTGTAGCACGTCGTTAGACGTACCAGTGAGTAGGCAGCAATTCAGTCTGGGCTCCCTCATCAAGTGCCACGTCATGGCGGCGCAATGAAGATGGCAAACGGTCGTTCGTCATAAGACATGGCACTCCCCTGTGTATCGTACGGCGTTCTTTTGACAGGTCGTACCAACGTTAATGATGGGTCCTTTCTCGACTGTCACTGCTCGGCCTCGCCAACTGCAGCATCAGGCAGCAATGACGCTATCAACAGGTGCGCAGCCACCCCCAAACTCTTTTGCTCTACCACAAGACAAGGCCTTGTTTTCCCAGCGAATCAAATGTGCTTTGGGAGGTAGGTGTCTGAGATCGTCGCCCTACCCTTTCTGTGGAACAAACTCCTGTTGAAGCGGGCTCACAACAAAGCGAGCTGCCGTGGGTCGTGATTTCTCCATACCTGTGGCACCTTCCACAGGCTGCTTCTAGAGCAGGCCTTTGAGAGATGCACAGAAAGTCATGTCCCTTACCTTTGTCTGGCCTTGATATATCATCACACCGCCTTACGGGCCAATAATCACCGTGTTTGCTGCGCCGCCAGCCAAGAAAAATGCTGAGATTCTGTCGCATTGCTTTCAACGGTGACTCAACGGCAACTCACCTTAGGCTGACAACTAAAGACAAGGCACCATGACATAGGCTTCTACATGCACAATAGGCTTCCAGAAAAAACGGGAGTGAAAAAACTTACGTGTTCAAATAAAAGGTCAGCCCACAAAGAAACATCAGGGCACTGACCATGACAGTGGAGCGAACGCTGGCCACACTCTTCAACGTGTCGGTAACCGTCATTTACCGATTCTACCATGAGTGGGAACGACACATCCGATTTGGATGCTGTACGAGTTCAGATGGCATTCCGATGGTCTGGGACCGAGCCAAGCAATATGGAGATCCTTATCCTGTTTGGTGGATTTGTTCCGGCCGATAGTCCTGCGAAGCCTTTATTTACTTTCACTTTGCAACTCGTCTGTCAAGGGATGTCTTGGAGGCGCCTTCTCCAAGCGAGGCAAGAATGATAGCGCGTGTTTTGTGTTGAACGGAGGCCTGCTAGGACAAGTCCTTTGGTGAAGAAAGCCGACAGTGAGCAACGACACAGTCAAGAGACAAGACACTTTGGATACAAAGGTATGTCGTTTGCTCTTCTCAGTAACCTAAGCTATTTTCAAGGTACATGAGGCATGTTGACGATTCAATGGAACATAGTCCATCAGAGCATGTCGAGCTTGGCCTCTGTGATAGCACAGGTCTCTGGGCCCACTAAAAAGGGTGTCATGACTGCCAAAATGTGGAGACATGTCCACTAACTCCCACTAACACGCAAAACACTTTGTAAGTGCTCGTCCGCCGTGAACAGCGGCTACTAACGGAGAGCGAGTCATTGATGTTCAGGTGCACCTAACGACGGCACGGATTACCGGGTAAGTCTTGCCGGGTCAAAAGAATAGGTGCAAGGCTGCTCTGGGCGTCTCAAAGCTGGTCAGAAGCGAGGCTCCCTGCTGAGGTTGTTGTTCCTCCAGGCACAGTCTGGGGTGGATCGACGGGAATAACCACCAATTTGGGTATTGACTCGTTGGAATGGGCAGTCAATGCATTGCGTGGAGGAAATTCAGCGATGAATAAGTAGCGTGGTTAAAAAAAAAAAAAAGGACTGCACGCCGGTTTTGCCAGTCTTTCGTCTCCGAAGGAACTCAACATTCTCACTCTTGTCGGGTGTGCTCCGTGTGCCGTCACATCCTGTCCATCCTGTCCACCCCCCCGCAGCCTCCGCAGCCTTCCACGGGAGCGTGTTGCGGAGGACGCCTGTTGATCTTATGGCACTGTCTGGAGAAGTTTGGAGTTTTGTGTGTAGTTTCTGCGCTAGGTGTGCCGACTACGGAAAACGAAAACCGTTGTTTTGGAGAAGAAAGGGGCGTCTCACCATGCGAAGCGAGAACCCATTCTTGGTCCAAGGACAACAAACACACCAGATTCTGCTGGTCGACTGTCAAGCAAGGGACGATCTTGGGTGTATTCTGACAGAAATGGCTGGACGGTCAAGGATGAAAAGTCCATGCAGGACGCCAAGGCAGATATATGGATGAGGATGCCCACATGTTTTTTTGTTTTTATAGATTAGATTCTATAGAATCCCGTCCTTGCCAACGATAGAAGTAGCATCGACAAGCTTCCACATACTCGCAATCATGGCTGACGTCGAAAAGAACAGCCACAGCGCCGAGGAGATCTCGCCGGCCAGTCATCATGAGCAACACCAGCCACAAGACGCAACCTACCATGGCTCCAGCAATGAGCACGAGGCCATTGGCGGCGCCCGGTTCGACGTCGTCGAGGGCGACCTTCCGCCGGGCTACTTCAAGAGCCGCTTCTTCCTGGGCACCATGCTGGCCATCGGCCTGCGCCTGACGGGCGGCGTGGCCGGCTTCGGCTTTGCGGCGCCCATTCTCACCACGATCAACAACGACATTGGCCCGTCGGCCAACATCCAGTGGGTGGCGCTCGTGTACACGCTCACAAGCTCGGTGGCGCTGACCATCATCGGGCGGGTCACGGACATCTTTGGGCGGCGCTGGATCTTCACGGGCGGCACGTTCCTGGGCATCGTCGGATCGATTGTGTGCGCGACGGCCCAGACGGTCGACACGCTGATTGGCGGCATGACCATCATCGGCCTCGCGGCGGCCACGCAGCTGTCGTACTACTACGTGATGGGCGAGCTGGTGCCGATGAAGTACCGCTTCCTCGGCAACGCCTATGTGTACATGTGGCAGTTCCCCAGCTCGGCCTTTGCGCCGGCCGTGTCCAACGCGTTTATCCAGTTTACGCGCGTCGGCTGGCGGGGTCCGTTTTACGTGCTGGTGGCCGTCAACAGCGCGTCGTTCCTCTGCTGGCTCCTCTTCTACCACCCGCCGACGTTCCACATGAAGCACCAGAACGAGCGCATGGCGACGTACCTGCGCGAGTTTGACTACGTCGGCACCGTGCTCTTCTCGGGCGGGCTGCTGCTCCTCATGATGGGCCTCAACTGGGGCGGCGCGCTGTACGCGTGGACGTCGGCGGCCGTCGTCAGCACGCTTGTCCTCGGCGCGCTCGCGTTGGTCACCTTCCTGTGCTGGGAGGCGTTTGCGCACCCCAAGGAGCCCCTGGTGCCGATGCACCTGTTCCACAACCGCGGCTGGAACGCCGCGACGGTGCTGTCGGGCGTCGCGGCCAGCATGTACTACGCCTTTGCCATTGTGTGGCCCGGCCTCTGCGGCCTCGTGTGGGCGCGCGACGACGATCCCATGTACGCGCCGTGGCTGTCGACGTTTGTCGGCATGTTTATTGTGGCGGGCGAGATTGTCGGGGGCGCGCTGGCCGGCCGCCTCCGCCGCCTCAAGTGGCAGTGCCTCGGCTCGGCCATGCTGGGCGGCCTCTTCTTTGCCGTCGTGGCCACCTGCAGCCCGGAGACCAAGGTGCGCGCCGGCGTGCTCGTGTCGCTCGGCGTCTTCTTCCTCGGCTGGGTCGAGTCGCTGTCCATCTCCCTCATTACGCTCACCGCCACGGACCAGGCCAACCTCGGCACCTCGGGCGGCCTGGCCGGCAGCATCCGCTTCTTTCTCTCGTGCACTGCGAGCACCATCTACACCGTCGTCCTCCGCGCCCGCAGCGCCGTCACGATCCCGGCGGCCGTCGCGCCCGCCGTCGAGCAGGCCGGTCTGCCCGTGTCCAGCGTGCCCGCGTTCCTCGACGGCTTCACCACGGGGTCGTTTGCCAACGTCAGCGGCCTGACCCCCGACATCATGGCCGTCGGCACCAAGGCCTACTATGTCGGCAACTTTGACGCCTACCGCACGGTGTTCCTCGTCACACTGGCGTTCACGGGCATGGCCTTTGTCGCTGGCATCCTGCTGCCCAACGACATTGACAAGTACCTCACCGACCGCGTGCATGTCACCCTGCACCAGGGCACGGACGAGACGGCGCTTGCCGGCGCCAAGCGAAGCGAAAAGCAGATATCAGCGTGAGGGACAATATGTGCAGGGCGCGACTGTGGCAGGAAGACAGGCTACTGTACTTCGCCATGGGGGTGCAAGAGCCCCAGTGCCCGGGTATTCATAATTTGTATACCAATTGGACAATGCCGTACGACACACATCGTACAGTATCTCTCTTTGGTAGTCCGTGTAAGCGTTCCAAAAGACGGCAGTGCCCCCACAAAATAGAATAACTTGAGCAAGGCAAGCGGCATCCTTAAGCATCATTTCCTAAATCTGGCATTAAACAAAATGGAATAAACCGATATGAAAGTCCAGTAGTTGTCGAACCTCCAAGCGTCGTCGTAAACAGCCAAGATAAGCTGCATAGCTGTGATTGGACGGGACTAATATCAAACCCCATGTTTAGCTCGTCTCTCACACGCTTTGATGTCCCGCCTCTTCTTTGTTCTGTTTGTTTTCTGGACGACAGACGGTGCCCTATTGCTTCTGGATATCTCTGACGACTGCTCAATTTTTATTGCTCATCTAATCAGAAATGAAAATGACGCCCGTTGGCAATAAGTTTGTGTCACTTTTATTGTTTCCCTTTTATCTCGTATCGTTCTCTCTGTTCACATTCTCCCGTGCGGATGTGATTCACAGGGAACGCCTCTCTCCACGTGCGAATCTCCAAGGCAATGCTAAGCTTTTCGAAGCCCACAATTTTGTTCGGCTACCCCAGAGCCAAGGCGGGACGTGAGCATGCCAAGACCGCGTCACCGGCTGCCCCATGAAATGAACCAGATGTCGGAACGACATGCGGTGCACATCATATCGGTTTAATAAAGGAAAGCATGTAAGAGCATACATCGTAGAGCCAGGACACGACAGCACATTTGGATGACAAAACGAAACGTTCGCGCGCTACACTGGTTCGTTCGCTCCGTCCTCGCCATATCTATCAGCCCACATCCATCACATCCGCCGCAACTCTGCGCTTCCCGGGCACGTCTGCCCAAATGGGATAGCAAGCGCGAGGCCAGCTCCATGAGCTGGTCCAATGGTCCAATGGAAGCGAGCTCTCGCTGCCCTTATCTCTCTGACGTCTTTCTCGCTGTTTTGTCCATTTCGAATGGGGCATGGTTCTGTTGCCTCCGCGCATTCTTTGCATCCTTTACGGGCAAGGGAGATACCGATAACGAACAATGTGTCGACTATCGCCCCTCCTGTCTGGCTGTCCCAAGCAGAGCGGGCGCCTTCCGTTGTTCTTCTACGCCTGCCAGCACGCAGCCATCACCTTTCAGCTTCAGCTTGTCCCCCATCCTCCTCGCCGTGGCCCCATGTCGAAGCGGAACCCAGCATCGGCCGTGTCTTCTGCAGGTCAGTCTCTTACATATGGCCCCGTCTTCTGCAGGTCGGCATCTTAAATACGGCGTCGTCCTCCACAGCTTGAAGGTTGGTCTGCTGTTGTTTGGAGCTGTCCTTTCATCATCTTTCACCAACACTCATCCTGTCACGTCGCACGACCTTTTCCTCCTACAGTCTCTGTTACAGCGCAGCAAACAATGTCCAACGCAACCAGTCCCATCTGGTGGGTGCCCACGTCGCCCGTCGGCAGTGGTGTGTACTTTCTAAGATTTTTCCCCATTGTATTTGTTGTAGTTTTCACCCGTTTCACCCTCCTAACTGAACGCGCCAGGTGACAATGCTTGGCAGCTGACGGCGGCGTCGCTCGTGGGCCTGCAGTCGGTGCCCGGCCTCGTGGTGCTGTACGCGGGCGTGATGAAGAAGAAGTGGGCCATCAACAGCGCGTTCATGGCCTTTTACGCCTTTGCGGCGGTGCTCATCTGCTGGGTGCTGTGGGCGTACGAGGCGTCGTTTGGCGAGTACATGCTGCCGCTTGTGGGCAAGCCCAACAACGTGCTGGGCATCGACCGGCTGCTGACGCAGTCGAACCTGCCGTCGCTCAACGGCGGCGCCGGCGCCAGCCAGGCGATGCCGCTGGCCACCATGGTGTACTTCCAGTTTGTGTTTGCGGCCATCACGCTCGTCATCACGGCGGGCGCGTTCCTGGGCCGCATGAGCTTCTACGCGTGGATGGTCTTTGTGCCGCTGTGGCTGACGCTGTCGTACACGGTGGGCGCCTACTCCATCTGGGGCGGCGGCTTCCTGACGCAGCTGGGCGTGCTCGACTACTCGGGCGGCTACGTCATCCACCTGTCGAGCGGCACCGCCGGCTTCATCGGCTCGTACTGGATCGGCCCCCGCATGGCCAAGGACCGCGAGGACGCGCGGCCCAACAACATCCTCGTCGTGCTGATCGGCGCCGGCATCCTGTGGATCGGCTGGAACGGCTTCAACGGCGGCGACCCGTACGCCGCGAGCGCCGACGCCGGCGTGGCCGTGCTCAACACGAACCTCTGCACGGCCGTGTCGCTGCTGGTGTGGACCGGCCTCGACATGGTCGTCTTCAAGAAGCCGTCCGTCATCGGCGCCGTCCAGGGCATGATCACCGGCCTCGTGGCCATCACGCCCGCCGCGGGCTACGTCGCCGGCTGGGGCGCCATTCTGCTGGGCCTCGGCAGCGGCTCCGTGCCCTGGTTCACGATGAACATTGTGGCCAAGAAGCTGTCGTGGCTCGAGCGCCACTTTGACGACACCCTCGGCGTCATGCACACCCACATGGTCGCCGGCTTTGTCGGCGGCTTTGGCACGGGGCTCTGGGCCACCGTCGACGGCTGCGCGGCCTTTGGCGCCACGAACCCGGGCGGCGCCATCGCCGGCAACGGCATCCAGCTGGGCTACCAGATGGCCGGCGCCCTGTTCATCATTGGCTGGAATCTCGTGTGGACGTCGCTCATTCTGCTCTTCATCCAGCACGTCCTGCGCATCCCGCTGCGCATGAGCGACGAGGAGCTGTTCCTGGGCGACGACGCCGTGCACGGCGAGGCCGCCTACGTCTTCGGCCCCTGCGAGGCCCACGAAGAGCTGGGCCACGCGGGCTACATCCAGGGCGAGATGGTCCAGACGGCGGCGGCCTCGTCGCCGGCGGCGGGCGGGCCGGGCGACAACGACGGGGGGGCCGAGCTGGGCATTGGCGGGTCGACGGTCGTGCCCAAGGACAAGACCAGCAGCGGCACGGGGGAGGGCAGCACGCCGACACAGTGAGACAATACGTCGGACGGGTGGTTCAAATTGCATGAGCCGCAGCGAGAATAATTCAGATACGAAATAGATACGAAATAACAAGACAGTTGGTTTCTGCAAGTACCGGGTTCATCCAAGAAACAAAAGAAAAAAACAAGACACATCTCCCCCCCTATGCTACAATCATGTCCGTCACCGGCTCGCAGGTCACGTCCATCTTCAGCAGCATGGTCTCGACCGAGTAGTCCTCGCCGTTGGAGCGGCCGCGCTTGCGCAGCGCCGGGGCGACGACCAGCAGCACCTCGGACTGGTCGGTGGGCGCGTCCTCCCACATGGGCGTGTCCATGACGGCCGGGTTGAAGCGCTGGGGCGCGCCGCGGTCCTTCTGGCCCGGGTGGCGGCAGAAGATCCACTCGAGGCGCGAGGCCTGCTGGCTGGTGTCGCGGTCGAACTCGCAGGCCTTGTTGACAATGTTGTGCAGCTCCTCGGCGTGGCTGCCGTCGTTGGCCGCGCGCAGGTACGGCTCGATGGTCATGCAGATCTCCTCGACGAGCTTGTTGCGCAGGTTGTCGCGCACCATGATGCCGGGCCGCTCCGCCACCAGCTTGGCCGTCGTCGCGCGCCACGTGTAGAAGCGGCGCTCGGCCTCGGCGTCGGTGGAGGTGGTGCCGCCGCCGCCGCCGCCGCTGTTGGCCTCCTTGTCCTCCTCACTGTACACGGCAAACGAATAGTCGCCCGGCCGCATCCACGCAAACACGTCGTGCAGCGGCAGCCGCCCGCCCGCCGCCCAGTACCAGCCGCCAAACACCGTCTTGGCCAGAATCACCCACAGAAACGACTCGACCGCGCTGGCGCAGCGCGTCGGCGACAGCAGAAAGCTCTGGAACGGGTCCAGCGGGCTGATGCCGGCCATGAACTCGCCCAGCTTCGTGTCGGCGCGCGCCGGCGGGCGCTCGTTCTGCGCGGCGTCCTCAAACTCGCCGTCAAAGTACTGGATGGCAAAGTCGCGGATGTCCTGGCGCAGCTCGCGCGCCTTTTGCGTCAGGAAGTCGTCGGCCATCTGGCTGAAGCCCTGCCCCGCCTTGAAGCGGTTGAGGTCGCGCAGCACCTGCATGTGGCCCTTCTTGGACCGCTCCGTCTCCTCGCGCAGCTTGCTGGCCTCGTCGCGGAACTGCGCCGCCAGGTCCTTGTACACGCCCAGGTTCTCCTGCAGCACCGCCGCGTTCTCCTCCGCCGCCATGCGCCGCATCTGCTCGTGCTGCAGCGTGTTGATCAGCGACTGCACCGTCTCCTGCAGGCTGCGCCGGTCGCTCGTCATGGTGCGCATGTAGTCCTCGCGCGGCGCCCGCGGCAGCGGCACCATGCCGGCGAGCGTGTGCGTGATGGACGCAAAGTACGAGTTGGCCGCCGACGCGTTGTTTGGCGGCCGGTCGTTGGGCCCGCGCGTGTTGATGGGGAACGTGTTGAGGTCGATGACGTTGCTCTCGTCGTCGCCTTGGTGGCTGTGGCTGTGGCTGTGGCTGTGGTCGTAGCCCTGTCCGTAGCCGTGTCCGTGTCCGTGTCCGTGTCCGTGGCCGTGGTTGCTGTCAAACTCGTGAAAGTCTCCTTGGTCGTACTCGTCGTCTTGGTCGTGGTCGTGGCCGTCGTCGAGGCCGTCGTCGCTGCACATGTCTTCTTCAATGAATCGCGGCGTCCCTAATGCGTACTCGCCGCCCTGGTTCTGGTCGCTGCCGCTGTCGTTCTTTTTGCCGTCCTGTTTGCCACTGCCGCCCCCAGTGCCACCATTGCCTCCGTTGCCTCCGTTGCCCCCGTTGCCCCCATTTCCTCCATTTCCCCCATTGTTGCTCTCCGCCCCCGATGGCTTGCCCTCTTGTCCGCCGCTGACGCCTTTGTCCTTGTTCTTTTTTCCGTTGCCGCCCTTCTTCTTGCCGTCCTTGTCCTTGTCTTTGCCCTTGCCCTTGCGCCCTGCAAACGAGTTTGGCGCCGGTTCCGTCGATGTCGGTGCCGTTGGTGTTGGTGCAGCGGCCGCTGCTCCAGCTGTGGCCGCTCCCTCGCCAAAAGCCTCAATTCCCTCGCCAAATTCGGTGGCTTCGCTGTCGTCCCCGTCGTCGACGCCGCCACCCTGGATCTGGTTCGGATTCTGGCTTTGGTTTTGGTTTTGGTTTTGGTTCGTATTCTGGTTCTTGGCTTGGTTCTTGCTTTGCTTCCTGGTCTGGTTGTCGCTCATCCCGCCCTCTGGAAGCTCGACTCCGCCCATTCTGAGAATCTCGGCAGCCGTCAGGGCCGCGCTCGAGTCGTCGCTGACGTTGACGCTGGGCGACGATCCACTGCGTCCTTTGCGGGTGCGGCCACTGTTCTTGCCGTCGGCCGTGTTTCTGCCCGACAGCCCTTCGGGGAACGACGACGTGCGCTCGGGGATGGGTGGCTGGTCGTTGTTGTTTCCGTTGTTTCCGTTGTTTCCGTTGTTGCTGTTTCCACCAGAGTTGCCGCTTGGCCGTTTGTTGCTTCCAGCGTCGGGTGGCGTCTTGGTGATGCGCTTCCGAGATTGGTTTTGCTGGCTTTGTTGATTTTGTTGGTTTTGTTGGTTTTGTTGGCTCTGTTGCAGCGCGTTTTGCTGGACGTTTTGCTGGGCCTGCTGGCTCTGCTGGTTCTGGTTCTGCTGGATGTTCGGCTCCTCCATGGTGGAGTGGCACAAGGACGGGCTCGAAATGGAGTGGAAGAGTGGCTAAAGGATCTAGCTTCGTCAAAACGTCTGCTACCTCAATAGCCGAGTTGTGGGCTGGGAGCGTAAGACCTAGAGTGGACGACGTGAGGGCAATTTGATTCAAAGTGACAGTTCAAGACGACAGATCAAGACAACTCAAAACGACAATGATGCTGCGAGCAAGCAAAGGCCGACGAAATAAACGCAAAATCAAACAAGCGTCGGAGCTCGGTGGACAGCCCAATCTTGGCTGGAGCTGTTTCTGATTATTGTGTTCGGCCGTCCTCTGTCCAATATGTTCTAGCCTCACGCCTCCCGCAGTGCCTATCCCAATGTCTGACTTTTCCTGCATTCTGCCTCTTCGGCTCTTTGACCCTGCCACAACCTCCTCCCAGCGGCGGCTTTCGTTATCGTCTTCCCTTGGTGGTCTGTCCACTTTGCACCACTCCATCCAACACTGCCCCTCCTCGTCCTGGACCCCTGTTGATTGGGGCGCCAAACACTCTGCCTCGATTCCAAGAGTCCTTTTCGACGTGGCTCCACGGCCTGCCAACGACCCATGCGCCGACCGGACACTTTACTCCTCTTGTCTGGCCCCGTCCTCCTTTTCGTCTTGTCCCTCCAGTCCCTTGTCCAAGGCACCTCATGGCACCTCGGGTGGGGTAGGGAGAGGGGCTGAGACGCGAGAGTTCAACAATGCATGGTGGCTGTGTGGACAATTGGACGAGGCTGAAGAATGGCGGCCTGCGATTGGTTGGATGTGTAAGTGATGCCCCACTCCCTCTCCATTTTCGCAATCCTTTGCCAGGGATGCCTTGCTGTTTCTCGAGTCTTGCGTCCATTTTCGTCGTGCTGAATCTTTTGCTTTTTGCAGACGATGGCGAGTCTTAGCGAGCTTGTAGAAGTGTCTTCTGAAGAACATAGGACCCTTCCCGACGCGAGCTTGAAAGGCGGCGCTGGGCTGCGAACAAGCAGTAAGATAATTACAAAATAGAGTGCAATGATGAAGCCCTATAGCACACTACTGGATATCTTACCTTTTTGCGCGCTACAGGTGGCCTAAAGTTAGGCGACGGAAACACCCTAGCAAGGCCGAACGGGGCCAGACGGGGCCAAACGGGACCAGGCCAAATCAAGGCCCAGGCCGAGCCCGCGCCTCCACTGATTGAATTCCCGCTGCCATGAGCCCCCAATTATCGCACACAACAGCGGATCAGCGCCAAGTAGAGCAGCGTCGAGAAAATAAGGCGCGGCAGGTGAAACAAGGCACTCTGGCGGCCAGGCACACTGCAGTGAGGCACCTGTTGAGCCTCTCTCTGCAAGACGGGAGGGGAAAGGCGACAGCTCTCTTCCCCACCTGCAGACCTCCCACTTTTACCCCATTGCAACTGGTGTGCATCTTGGGAGATGCTTCTCGTCTGGACGGAGAAATAGCCTGTCCAGTTGGCGTGCCGGTGTGTGTATGTGCTTTGCCGCTGCGGTTTGCTGCTGTCCGAATGCCGCCAACCATACAAAACAACTTCCAGCCTCCTTTCTTCTTCGTCGGTCGATAACCGAACATTCGGCGGATTGCTTGACTTTGGTCGTTGATATTTGCACTTGAATTTTGATTTCCAATTCTTACGCCGTACGCTCTAATATCCGCATTACCACCGGACATCTCTACTTATTTCGTCTCTTCCATGCTTCTTTCCTTCTTTATACTGCCACTTTTAACACTCCCCACCTCTCTTTCTCCTCGACTACCCTCTCACACTTTCCCTGTCCCCTCCTCCAGTATCCCCAAATGGCAGATTCTGTCAGGATGTCGTCCACCACCGAGTACTGGCAGGGCATCTCCGACGACCAGACCAATGTCCTGATCATCGGCATCGACTTTGGCACCACCTACTCGGGCGTCGCCTGGGCCACGCCCTACGACTTTGAGCAGGAACAGATCAACCTCATCCACAGCTGGCCTGGCATGGGCCTCGAAAAGGGCAAGGCGCCCACCGAGCTCTACTACGACGACGGCCAGATCTACTGGGGCTACGAGATCCCGCCAGACGCCGACCCCGTCCAGTGGTTCAAGCTGCTGCTGCTCAAGGAGGACGACCTCGACAACGAGCTGCGCAACTCCGAGTACGTGCGCCGCGGCCGGCGCATGCTGCGCGACACCGGCAAGACCCCCACGGACCTCGTCGCCGACTACCTGCGCCTGCTGTGGGAGCACGTCATCGACACCATCTGCCGCGACCGCGGCGACGCCGCCGTCGACGGCATGAAGTTCCACGTCGTCCTCACTGTGCCGGCCATCTGGAAGGGCTACGCGCGCCAGCGCATGGAGGACGCCGTGACGCAGGCCGGCATCCTGGACAACCGGCCCGCCGGCAAGACGGAGCTGTGCTTTGTCACGGAGCCCGAGGCCGCCGCGCTGGCGACGCTCTACAACAACCCGAACCCGAGCAAGGCCGGCGACTGCTTCATCATCTGCGACGCGGGCGGCGGCACGGTCGACCTCATCAGCTACAACGTGACGCGCGCGTCGCCCGTCGTCATGGAAGAGGCCGTCGAGGGCACCGGCGGCCTCTACGGCAGCATCTTCATCGACGAGGCCTTTGAGAAGATGTCGCAGCGGCGCCTCGGCCCCAAGTGGTCCAACCTGTCCAAGACGGGCATCAAGGAGCTCGTCAAGGGCGAGTGGCAGCAGGCCATCAAGCCCCAGTACAAGTCGCAGGCCAACTCCCGCCGCCACTACACCGTCGGCATCCCCGCCGAGGCCTTCAACTCCAAGGCCGAGCTGACCGACTCCAGCAAGGAGCCGCACATCAAGATGGGCCGCTTCCACCTGACGGGCGAGCACATCGAGGCCCTGTTTGCCTACTCGTTTGAGGGCATCGACGCCCTCATCGACGAGCAGATCCGCGAGGTCAAGAAGAAAAAGAGCCTCGACGTCACCGACATCATCCTCGTCGGCGGCCTCGGCGCGTCGCCCTACCTCTACCAGCACCTCAAGGACCGCCACGGCCCCAAGATCAACGTGCTGCAGTCCACCGGCACCAAGCCCTGGACCGCCATCTGCCGCGGCGCCGTCTACAAGGGCTTCTACAAGGCCCTCAAGGCCGACGGCGAGGACAACCGCCTGCTGCTCGAGCCGCCCATCCAGATCGCCTCCACCGTCTCGCGCTTCTCCGTCGGCCTCTGCTTCTCCCAGCTCTACAACGCCTCCTACCACAAGATCGAGGACCGCTACTGGGACGACAAGGAGGAGGTCTACTTTGCCGGCCGCCAGATGGAGTGGTACCTGCGCAAGGGCAGCTCCGTCAAGACCCTCGCCCCCATCCGCCACGACTTTTACCTGCTCTTCACCAAGCCCAAGACCGAGTGGACCCGCGAGCTCTACCTCTGCAACGACGTCGAGGCCCCCACCCGCCGCGAGGAGAACGTCATCAAGCTGTGCGACATCCGCTGCAACTTTGCCTCCATTGTCGACAGCCTGCCCGACTACACCTCGCCCAGCGGCAAGGTCTTCAAGAAGTTTTCCTACGAGATTGTCATGACCCCCACCGGCGCCTCCGTCGACTTCCAGGTCTTTTACAAGGACCAGCGCCTGGCCAGCCAGGAGGTCAAGGTGTGCTTCGATTAGGAGGAGCAGGGAGGCGAATGTGAATGATGCTTACTTGGTGTTTCGTTTTAATCTCTGGTTTTGTCCTGCTCGACGATTTTGGTGTTTTTTTTTAGTCTTCACCGAATTCCCCTTTTTTGGCGTTGCGGGAAATAAGCGCAGCGGATTTGTTTTTGGGTCTACGTTGGATTCCTTTACCTGTTGAATTTATACGCTTATGATATTTATATTTTATATATATATGTTGACTTCTTCTCTACTCGCAATAAAGAATACAGACAATGACAAAAAAAAAAACGAAGACAAAAAAACGTACAGCAGCGGGTATTCGCTGGTCGTCACCGACCCAACTACTAATCCGCCGATTACTGGTTTGACTAGGGGAGAGCGGACGGGATCCCGTATTTTCCAGTATCTGTGGCCGTACGTGGAAGCTGTTGTTACGATGTGAGTTTATATACGAAGTACAGCGGACAAGTGCCTGATCGTTTCACGAGAAACCAATAACTGACGCACCGGATATTACAAAGTGCTATTCTCCTGGTCAATTTGTGTTTTGGAGTCCGAACTAAAAACACCAGTATGCACGTACAAAGGCACTGTGAGTTTGGTAAAGTTATTGGGTCTCTCTCATAGTCGTGTAAATACGGCGTTTGGTGTAGAAACGATTAAAGGAAGAAGCGATGCTCTCCAGATGCGCTCTCTCCAGGTCACCATCACAATGTCACATTGTTTCCCCGCCTGACTTATGACGGCAAATTGGTCGGGCTGCCATCCGGGCCAGTGTTTCGCCATATTTACTGCAAAAATAGCGCAGAAAGCTGCTGGAAAAGTCGGAAACCAAGTTTGGACCCATACTGAATGCCCTGGACCAGCTCTTTCCTGCTCTGGAGCCGTGCCGGGTAAGCCAAGCCAACCACAACAAGGCTGCGGGCCGACAACGGCCTGCGGCCACGCTAGTGCTGGGCCGGTGCAGCACAAAACGGCAGTGGTGCCGGAGTCACAATGGGAAGGTGCAATGCGCACTTGTGAGTGTGCAATTCTGCACGAGTCTTTCGTTTGGTCGTCTAATTTGACTCCGACGCCGTCTGCTGTCGTCGTACATCAGCTGTCGCCGTGCTTCAAACGACAACAAGTTGAGGATGAACGCAAAGAAAGTGATATTTGACTATGCGGACAAACAAAAAGATGAAAAGCCCATGTGTTGTACTTCTGGACAATTTTTTTTGCGTGTTGTCTTTGCCTTCGCCTCGCCCTCAGTCTCGCCGCTCGCCTTGTTCTATCTAGCGTCAAGTAGCGCCGGCCAATACTTCGATTTGCGCGCCTTTCTTGCCGTAAGCCGGTCGTGCTCGTCGATCCCGAGAGCATTTGTGACATGTAGATTCTGACGTTCCTTGACAGTTTTGTCATTGACACATCCGAGCGTATTTTGCATTTTCTGCTCATCTCTCACTCTGTTTTCCGTTTCTTTTGCCTCGCTCATATTCTCCTCATCATCGCAATCTTGCGCCTACGCCGCTCTTTCTTCCTGGCTACTTCCGACAACCCGGCCCACGTGACCGGCAACATCACCACTACCACCGTCGCACTTTCCTCCGGCCGCCTCTCTTCCCCATACGGCGATGATCACAAGCTCCATTCGCTATGTTTACCGCGAGTCCGGGTTGGCGTCCGTCTTCAACACGGGCGCCGACGCCTGGATCATCATCCTCGCCCGCACGTGCCGCATGTTCGCCTACGGCGCCAGCGCCCTCGTCCTGGCCCTCTTTTTCGCCGAGCTCGACGTCTCGGACGAGCGCATCGGCCTTTTCATGACCTTGACACTCGCCGGCGATGTTGGTCTTTCTCTTCTCCTGACCCTCGTGGCCGACCACGTTGGCCGCCGCCGCACGCTCATGTTCGGCTCCGTGCTCATGATTATGTCCGGCACCACGTTTGCTCTGTGCGAGAACTACTGGTTACTGCTGGTGGCCGCCGTGGCGGGCGTCATTAGCGCTACCGGTGGTGACTTTGGTCCCTTCCGTGCGGTCGAGGAGTCGATGCTCTCTGAGCTGACCAACCCAAACACAAGGGCCGACGTGCTCGTGTGGTACGTGACCACGTCTGCGCTGGGGTCGGCTGTCGGCACGGAGGTGGCCGGCCGCGCCGTGCACTATCTCAACAGCGACAGTGCAGCTGGGGGCTTGGGCTGGCCGCTGCGTCAGGCGTACCACGCTTGCTACTGGGCCTACGCGGCCATGGGCATTCTCAACCTGGTGCTGAGCTTGATGCTGTCCACCAAGTCCGAACTGCAGCACCGGTCCATCGAGGACGCCGATACTGTCGTCGCTGACAATGACTCAACCAGCGACATCCAATTGTCACCGAGACCTAGCAGCGGCCGCCACACGCCTCGGGCGACAGCTACGCCGGGAAGAAGCAGTAGCAGTAGCGCCACTGTAGTCGATGATAGCGAAGAAGGCGGTCTGTCCGGGGGCAACGCCGGCAGCAACGACCACGAAGACGACGATAGCGATTTTGGTGGCGAGGGAGATCCCCTGGCTCACCCTGGGACAAATTCAACTCCGCCCCAATCTGCACGCGCCAAAGCCCCCGGCCGCTTCAGCCAGATCTCCAAAAAGACGCGCTCCATCATGTACGGTCTCTGGTTCCTGCTCATGGTCGACTCGCTCGCCGATGGTATGGCCAGCATTGCCTTGACCTCGTACTACATGGACAGCAAATTCCACATGGGCAAGGACTCGCTCGGCAACATTCTGTCCATCAGCTACTTGCTCGCTGCCTTTTCGTCCGTGTTTGCAGGTCCGCTCTCCCGCTACATTGGCCTCATCAACACCATGGTCTTTACGCACGTGCCCTCGTCCGCTGCCGTCCTCTTGTTTCCCCTGCCGAGCAGCATCGGCCTGACGTACGCCCTTCTCCTGCTGCGCATCGGTCTCAACAACCTCGACCAGGCCCCCCGCGCCGCTCTCATTGCGGCCGTTGTCCGTCCCGAAGAGCGCACTGCTGTCCTCGGTATTACCAGTCTGCTGCGCACTCTGGCCTCCACCACAGGCCCTACGGTGACCGGCTTCCTCGCCGGCAGTGGCCGCTTCTGGATCGCATTTGTGGTGGCCGGCGCGCTGCGCCTCGCGTACGACTTTGGTCTTTTTGCCATGTTTGTCAACATCCGCCTCTACCAGTACGAGCCGACAACGCCACCCAAAGAAGCGTCGTCGAACAGAAGTACCTCTGCGTCGGCCAACGACACCCACGGTGACTACAGCAGCGTCCCGGGCCACCCGGACACGTTTGTGCTCGACGAGGAAGAGAGCATCACGGGAGACAACAGGTGAAGCGAGGCTATTAGGGCATGTAATTGAAAGGCCGCCGGTGGACAGGATGCTGAATTACGATTTTGATTTTAATTTAAAAGTTGGAATTTCCATCCTACAATTGCGTTGGTGTATATTTGCTCACCGGTTTCATGAGTTTTTGCAGCTAGATTCTCATTTCATTGAAAATCACATTACACGTCATTCAGACTTTGGTTGCCAATGGTCTCCTTTGGACGTGTGTTTATTTCACGGCCATCGCAGTAAATCGTCTCTAATAATTTCATGATTTGTCACTGTGCATGACAAGATTACCGGCAAAAGGGCACAAATTGGATTCAGGAACGGACGAACGTGGAAAAGGCGGAATGATTAATATATTCAACAAAGAGGGAAAGGGTAAGAGAGCGCGAAAGCGCGACAGACCAAGAGCAGAAACGAAACGACACGGAACGAGTGCCTCCCGCAGAGTGGAGGTGGTGGCAGAGGCGGCAAGCATCCCGTCGGACTGATTGGGAGCTTAATGGAAATCATTCAATAGAATTATATAAGGAGAAGTTGTCAAACATATCATTTCTTTGTAAAATACATATTTTCTCACGTTATTTTCTTTTCTACAAAGATAACTCACTTTAAAAATCATTACAACACACATGTTAACAAAAATTTAGGACTTCGCCCAGGGTAGATCTTTTATTTAATACCTCAGTCGATATTCGCCCACATCGATGATTCCCAATATTAATGAAGAGTAAATGGCCCTTGCCCGCTCTGCTTTGGCAGGAAACGGGAAATGGGGAACTCACCACCCCGACGCTGGGTGGCTGGTATGCGGATATTGGATATTGGACAGTACGTTGTATCTTCACGCACATTGAAGCTCGAGCCCCGGCGCCGAGACTTTTGCCGGTCGCTTTCAATCTATTTAGAAGACTGAGAGAACCGACGCTTCCAAATACCTGAGAAGAGCCGCTTGACGTAAACAAATAGAAACCCGCAACGACAGCCCGGGAGCGCAGATTTTAAAATCAATCAACACAGTGAGAGGCAGGATGGATCAAAGAGACAAATTAATAACACCTAAGCGCAATTTGGTTGTATCTCGCTACGCATGGGGCAGCTTCTCACCGTGGTAGGCCTCGCGTCCTATTCCGTATCGTGGGTGTACAGATTATATATCCCAGAATCCCTTGGGCTGTTTCTCTTGTCGTTGTACTTTTATCTAGCACCCCTGCAACTTTTTCTTTTCTGACTTACTGACGACCCATTCAACTCCCTTGACACCACCGAAACACCAGCATGCAGCTCTCCGTCTCTGCCCTGCTCGGCCTTGTCGCCGCTGCCAATGCCCACGGTCTTGTTACCTCGCCGGCTACCCGCACGCCCGGGGCTGCCACGGCGGCCGTTTGCGGCGAGACCATGGTCAAATTCTACCAGGCCGACAACACGTCGTACCCCGAGGCGCTCTTCCGCGCCAACCCCAAAGGCATCGGCGCAGACTACAACGCCGCCAAGTGCAACCTGTACCTGTGCCGCGGCTACCAGTTCGGCGACAACACCAAGAATGTGCAGTCGTACAAGCCGGGCGAGAAGGTCGACATGGACGTGTTCATCCGCATCCCGCACAAGGGCTATGCCAACGTGTCGGTGGTCGACACGACGACCAACAAGATTCTGGGCGCGCCGCTCATCGACTGGCCGAACAACTACGCGGCGACGCTGACGCCGCCGGCGAACCAGACCAAGTTCAGCGTGACGATCCCGACGACGCTGGGCGACCAGTGCACGACGGCCGGCACATGCGTCCTGCAGTGGTACTGGCTGGGGCAGGGCCAGACGTACGAGTCGTGCGTCGACTTTACGACGCCCAAGACGACGCCCATGCGGTTCACGGCATAAGTTGCGAGAGAGGATAAAGCACGAGTGCATTTGCTGTCCAAAGCGATGGTAGTGCTTGGTTCAAATTGGTTGGCAAGGTTCCACTGTGTCGTTGAAATGTGCATATATTTCTATGGTGTATGATGAACTCTCCAAAAACAAAAATGACAAACAAATATTTACAAGAGTCCGCCCCTATGTCTTCTTCCCTCATTTACAGAACTAGCTTGCCGCCGTGGTACTTGACGTTGGAGCTGTACGTAGTCGACGCCGCCGCAACGTCGTCCAGCGTGCGCCTTGGAAAGCCGTCGAACGAGACGGCGTACGTGGCCACCGAGTGGGCAACCAGCTGAGCATTGAGCTCCCAGGCCGTCAGGTTGATATTGCTGACGTCGTCGCACAGCTGGTGGTAGCACGGGTCGTACCAGTCGCCGGCCGTGCCACCAAACAGCGCAGCCTCTTCCTCGGTCTTGACGCCCTCGGCACCCGTGGCAATGCCACCAGCGGGGATGCCGGCTCGGATGAAGCCGTCGTAGTCGCTGCGGCCGTCAAAGGGGATCAGGGTGTAGTTGAGGCCGTGGGCGGCGTACCAGTCGGCATACAGGTCGCGCAGGGCCTGCGAGCCGGCCGGGTTCTCGCTGTCCAAAGCGTTGTACACCTGGTAGGCATAGTTGGGGCTGGCCAGCATGTCGTAGTCCATAAAGAGACGCACCTTGAGGTTCTCCTCGGGCGACAGCGACGCGGCATAGTAGTCGGAGCCCAACAGGCCCTCTTCCTCGGCAGCCCACCACGCGAAGCGCACGCAGTTGTTGACGCGGAAGTGAGACAGCTGCGCGGCCACCTCGATCAGCGTCAGACTGCCAGAGCCGTCGTCGTTGATGCCGGGACCCTCGGCAACACTGTCACTATGGCCGCCCAGCATGACACAGTGATCCGGGTCGCCGCCCACGGTCTGGGCCAGGATGTTCTTGGTGATGATGGTGCGCACCTCCGAGTCGATGTAGGCAATGCCGTCGTAGCTGGCGCCCTTCTTGAGCGCAGCAGCGAGCGGCCGGCCCTCTGCGCCGGACAGACCAAACGTGGCAATCTGGTCCGGGTTCGGCGCGCCCAGCGTGCCGCTGAGCGGGCCATCCTCCGTGTTGTAGACGACAGCCGCAACGGCGCCGGCCTTGCCAGCCAGCTCCGACTTGGTGCCAAAGGGACACGTACCGCGCTGTATAAGAGCAATGGCGCCCTTGACGTCGGCGGGGTAGTCGGCGGCGTCGCAGCCGTCGTTGGCCACGAGAGCGAGCTGGGCAAAGACGGGCTGGTTGGCCTTTGTCGGCGGAGTCAGGCCCATGGGACGGCTGTCGACAACGGTATCGTTCAGGACGAGGCGCCACTCGTAGACGTTGCCCGTCGTGGCCGGGAAGGTCTGGTTCCAGACGCGGTAGTAGCCGTCCTTGCCCTCCTCAGGATTGCCGCCGCCGAGCGCGGAGACAATGGAGTAGATGTAGTCGAGGGTGCCATTGTGGCCGCCGCTGCCAATGACGCGCGTCGGGTGGCCGTACTCGGCGTAGCCGCGCTGAGCAATGCCATAGAGGGCTTTGGCGTGGCCGAGCAGGCGCTTGCTGGAGATCTTGCGCTGAAGCTCCTCGCTGTCGACGAGCGGCTTCTTCGTGGAGGAGGCGGCGGAGGCGGCGATGTCATCGTCCGACACGAGAAGAGGAGGAGCAACAGCATCGACGCCCTCGTGCACAATCAGAGGCTGCTGCACTGCATTGTCGGAGACGGCGATGGGCAGCTTGAGGGCCGATGCGCTGCTCAGCAGCACTGCCGCCGCGAGCGGCGCTTTCCAGCTTGGCATTTGGAGAGAGGGAAAGGAGGACGCGGCGATGAAAAACGGCAAAAAACAAGTAAAAACGAGTGTGTTCTGCGGTGCTGATGGAAGTCTGTAACGAAGACAAAGAGAGCAACAAGAGAAGAGCTCGAAAAAGGTGACGAAAGACGAAAGGCAAGAGGCGGGAAACAGAGTCACGAGCCCAGAGCAGGATAAGGAAGGAGCTTTGCGGCGCTAAAATGCGCCGAAAGGAAGGTCCGAGTCAGGCACAGGATGCCTGTTGGCTTGGCGGATGTGGGGCTCATGGGCGCTTTTGACCGCATTGGTGATTGCTTTGGTGGCCGGTGCTCGAGTCGGGAGCGCTAACGCCAGAGATAAGACCAATGGCATAATACGGGGGCAAGCGAGTGGAATATTGCGTCTTTTGCCCACTCTGACGGGGGGCAATTGCTTTCGTTGAGGATGATTCAAGATACGCAAAAGTTAATTATGCATTTATACCATATTTCAGTGTTGGTACCGCCCTCGCGGTCGTTCTTTCCTTTTACAAAATAGATGAAGACCGCGGAGGCAGGCGCAAGGAGAGTCCGAAGAGGCGCGAATGGATGGCAGGAGCAAACACCCCAAATCGAGGACACAAGCGGCTTTTTCAATCTTGTTTGTCATTATCGTACTTCTCATGCGACGTGTTATCCAATCTTTTCCATGCCGTGGAAACCATCAATGCGTGCAAGGAATCCCGTGAACGCCCAGCATTAACACAATCGAAACATTTATAAATCCAACGCCATCCGCTTGGCCGCTCGTCACGACACTTGGGCCGCAGACGGTTATTCCCCCTCACACATTATTCACTTCCCTACGCCTTGTCGGCCCGCTCGGTGACGGCCATCATCAGCGGTGGCTTTTCCCAGAAGGCATAGGTCTTCTGGTCGGCGGCCCAGCGAATGCTGTCCGGCTGGGTCGCCAGGTCAAAGTTGAAGACGATGCGGGCCAAGACCGTGCGCATATCGGCCACCGCCAGATAGCGGCCGATGCAGTTGCGGGGGCCGTACGAGAAGGGATGGAAGGCGTCGCGTTGATCGTTGCGGAAGCGCTTGTCGGCCCCGGCGCCCGTGAGCCAGCGCTCCGGCGCGAACGTGTCGGGCAGCGCAAAGTTGCGCTTGTTCCGGAACATGGCATAGTACGAGATGGTGAGGACGGTGGCCTCGGGCAGGTAGAACTGGCCGTTGGCCACGGTGGTGCCGCCGGCCCTGGCCTGGCGACCAAAGCCCCAGGCGGTGGGTGGGTGCATGCGCAGGGCCTCGTCCAAGACGGCGCCGAGGTACGGCAGATTTTTGACGCCGGCAAAATTGATCTCCGCCTCTGATGAAAAGGCGCCGCGCACCTCGGCCTGCAGCTTCTCCAGCGGAGACTGGCCACCGGCGGCCGGGGCGGGAGTTGTGGATAGGAAATACAAGGCAGCGCTCACGGCTGTAGCCGATGTCTCGGCGCCGGCCGTAATAAAGGTCGTGAGCGAAGCGTGCATGCGCTTGGTCGTCCAAAAGTCTTCGTTTTCGAGCATGGGTGTCACAAAGTCTGGCCGGCCAGGACCTAAAACGCGGCGGCGCCTGATCTTGTCGTCGGACATTGCATGGTGCCACATGAGTTGGTTGCGAGCCTCGCGGGTCATTTTGAGCCAGACGGCGAGGCGGGCAAGCGTGGTGCCCAACAAGCGGTGGAGGTTGACCTTGGTCACGCCACCCTTTACGCCTTTGCCAATCATTGCCACCCACGCATGCTCGGCGCCATCGACGAGGCTGCCAAAGGGCTCGCCGAAGCCCAGCTCGCCGATGATGTCAAAGAACAGCCAATTGGTGTACTGGACCATATCGACGACGTTGCTGTCTTGGTCGTCTTTACCTTCTTTGCTGTCACTCTTTTTCGAGCTCTTCTTGGCGGCGGCGTGGAGAAGACCGACAAGTCTGTCGATGTGGCTTTGAATGAGCGGCTCCTGCTCGGTGACGGCCTTGGTGGAAAAGGCCGCATTCAGTGACTTGCGGGCCATGATGTGGTCTGCCTGTGGCATGTAGAGCAAGCTTCCGGGCCGCGAGACGTTGTTATAGAAGACCGTTTCCTTGGGGTTCTCCACGTACGCGTGGCCGCCATTAGCTTCGGTTCCCGGCATGCGTTTCTGTCCAAAGACATCACTCCAGCCATGGGCCGCCGCAAATGACACCTCGTTGGGGCCAATGCGTACAACGTCGCCGTATGCCATGTGCATGTCGCGCAAAATCTTGTGGGCATCGCCAGACATATACATGCGGTAGCGGGGGAGGCCCGTGGCGGCGTACCACCAGGGACCCGGGACGACGCGAAGTGGATGGAGGAATATGTTGTAAACGATGCGGGCAAAGAAACCTAGGATGGTCTGGATCGTTAGAGGTTCATCAAGCCGGCTCTAATTCCACCTCCGACCGCTTCAATTTTGACTCACCGTGATGACGGCCAGGCGGAAGATCAGCGCCGCGGGTGGCATACTAACCTGCCCAGCCTTGATGAGGCCGAGCAGGCTCTCAGGAGATGTTGACATTTTAGTGAAGCGAAGCTGATGAAAGGGACAAACTGCGAAATGCTGTTGTCGTAGGCCGAGAGGGGGAATGTGTGGCTCTTGGGGATATGAGCTTTATGTTGGAGTTCTATCCACTATTTGAGACACTTGACCTTCTGTAACTATCAACCCTTGTCTCCATGTCTGTGGCTTCTGACCTTTTGAAGGTGGGCGGTTGCTTATAAGGATAGACAAAAGCCTTACCGTTACATCCATTCCGGCCATATTGTGAGAAGTGGATGCGGGCGTGAGCGTGGCTGTGGACGTGAACAACAGGCACACGGCCGGGAGAAAGATTACTCTGTAAACGGCCTATACGGCTCGGAAACTCGAAATGGCGGCGTCGATCAGAGGACTCGCTATGACTCGGTAGAAAAGATCCGTAGAAAAGCCCGCTTCCTCGGTAGGGTAGAGCTGTGTCCAAGCAAAAGCAGCTTACGCAAACACTTGTGGCGACGATACAGCCATCACAAAAGATCAGTCGGGCCGGGAACCTATCAGAACTCGTCCGCCGGACGCCGTACGGAGTACATTGTGCGTGGCACTGTAGACAAAACTTATTCCCGGTTCTCACGACCGCGTCTTCGTAGGTCCTGTTTCAGGACAAAACAGGGCCTTCAAATTTTGGTGCACCAACAAGTCTTTCATACGTTTCCATTCCGGTGTCATGGCCATCAGAAACGGCATTATTAGTTCTTTTGATCGCATATCGGTTATAATAGAGCCCTCTTAATCCGGGCCGCATATGACCGGTGTTTTGCAGCACCAAGCACATACCACACCAGCTTCGTCTCCATCTTCGATGCGTGTTACTTCGCGTCCTGCGTATCGCACCTCGGATCCTTTCGTCTGACAGATGTGTGCCGGCATGGCCTCGTATGGCGGCCGGGCGGCATTAAAACTGGGCGTTGATTACGAGTAGCGTCGCCGCCGCAGGTCGGGGTACCACCCTTCCATCAATCATATTGTACGGAGTATGTTGTACATATCCCTAGCTGTTCGTATCTCCGATAATTACCAAAATCCCGACAGCAATACCATGGATGTTGAGGAAATCAAAAACAAAAAAAAGGAAAAATAAAAAGCGGCGTCAGGTCCTGTCAGCACTAATTTAACGTTGCGAGCAGGACCGGTAAGAAGCAGTTAGAGTCCGGTAGACGCAGCCATGTGGTATCGTATTAGTCAACGGAGTATTATGTCATATTTGATGAGGATTTCTATTTTGAGCAGCAAGACGGTGGACATCACGGAACTGAACAAATCAAGGGATATGAAGCAAACCCGACGGGGCAATGGGAAGGACTTTGGTCACATGATCATCAGATCCATACTCCGGTTTCCAGATTGAACAAAACCCGGCCAAAGTAAATAGAAAGAATAAAACTAGAAATGGAGCAAATCTAGAAACCACAAGGAAACTCGAGAACTCAAGTTATATGGACCAAAAGCAACAGAACACCGCCGCTGATATATTGTAAGATGGAAAATACAAGATGCACTGTGAGTGCTCCTTGTGACCGACCATGACACAGGCTCTATCGGCGGCTACGCCTGCTTGCCCAGCGGTGTCAGGCCGGCGCGAAACGGTCGCTGCAGGTTCTTAATCTTGTCGTCGTCGACACGCCAGACGCCCTTGGTGCGGTCGTCGTGCAGCTGCAAGTGTGTTCCGGCCGCACCCGCAGCCGCTGCCAAGCGGTGGAAGACGACATCGCCGTCGTGCTCGGCATTCTTGAAAAAGAGCGGCGTCCAGACCTCGCCGGCGGCGGCCTCGCGGGCGCGCATGCGGCGCTGGGCCTGCTCGATCTTGGACTTTTCTGCAACGGTCTGGCTCAGATCGCCCTTGCCGAGACCGTCGAGCACGCCCGCCCAGGCACGCCGCGACTCCCAGGGGTCCTGGGTGGCAGTGTCGGGCAGATCAATGGGTGCGGGCTTGTTCTCGGGGGCGTCGACGTCGTATGTCTCGAGCACAGCGCCGGACCGCGCGTCACGGACGGTCCAGCCCTTGCTCCAGACGCCCTCAATGGTGTAAAGCACGTCGCGCGTCGTGCTCCCGGGCTCGCTGGGGCTAAAAACCTTGGCCGTGAATGCGTTGCGCGTGCCGCCCCAAGCCAGGCCCTGACCAGAAAACTTGATCTCGGCCGTGTAGCCGCTGCTGCCGACGACATGGTAGGTTTCCGTGATTTCAGGATACAAGCGGCCGGACAAGAAGCCGCGCACCTTGATATCGGGCAGGGGAATCAGGTAATCTTCATCGTATGCATCGACGCGCACCACCGCGTGGCCAACCTGGCGCACCTGGACGCTGCCAGAAAAGGTCATTTCGACGCGGGCGTATCCGTCGGCACGCACGCCGTGGACGTCGTCGGCAATGTGCATGGCGGTGATGGGCGGGTGGTGACTGACCTGCTCGGCAACAAGACGGGTGGTTATGCGGTCGGTGCCACAGGCACAGGAAGACGAGGTGGAGGAGGTGGTGGTGTTGGTGGAGTTGGTGGAGTTGGTGGCTGAGGACGAGATGGTTGTGCTGCGGCTCAGGCCAGGCTCTTGGTGCTGGCTAGAGAGACTGCTTCGTGCCGACGGGCTCCGGCTCTCGACGCCATGTGTCTTCTCGTCCGTCCACTCGGCGAGGAACAGTTCGCCCAAAAACGCATTGAGCGGCTTCTTGATGCTTGTCGAGGGCGAGCCGCCGACGTACATTTGTGAGCGGAGGGCAATGAGGACCATGCGCAAGACGAGCAGACAGCGGCGATCGGCGGCGGGCTCGAGGGCAGGTGCTGCGAAAACGGCGGGTCGTTGGGCCCAGCAGCGGCCGACTTCGACGACGGACATGGGCGCGAGCATGGATGGCGGGCCGGTGACGTTGGCGAGATCACCTGAGGTCGAAGAGAGGAACTGGTCATTGTTAAAAGAAAGACAGAAAATTGTCACAATTGCGAACTCAACAAACCTGCAGAAGCTCCTTGCAGCGAGATGCAAGAGACTTGTCCATTGCGGTGGATGTGCTGCAAATCTGTGAAGGCTTGGTGCGGTGGCACTAGGCGTGATCGGCAATGGCGATGTAAGTGATGTTGGTGTTGGTGATGACCAGCGAAAGTAAACAGACAATGGGCTTGCTTTTCAATTTCCAATGCTCTCGAAACAAGTCACCTCTGTCTATCAGTACTTTCCCTCGGCGTCGTTCGTGCCTTCTCTTTTTATGTTTTACATGACTACTTGGCGTGCGGAGGAAGGTACGTGGCTGTCTCCTGCTTCACTTTTGTTTCACCCACCTGTGGTGGGAAGGTGCGCCATACGCCGCGTTGCCCCACGCCAACAACGAAGCGACTCTTGGCCTGGTCTGCAGCATCGCACCTGCCTCAGTTGAGAGAATCGAGTAACTGAGATTCTGCAGCTCCTGCCTTGTCATAGTACAGGATGGCCATGGAATAGTATGGGGAAAATGCGCGCACCTGCAGAGTACAGGTAAGATACCGGGGAGCCAATAGGGCCGCTAGGATGCCGTGTTCTTGGTCTACAGATGCACTACCGCCTGGTCAATTGTATGGCGCTGCTGGCGACATCGACGGCACTTGCACGGAAACACAGTGGTCCGGCAGACCATTTTGCATTGTTTGCTATTTTTGCCCTGTTCTTCTAGCCCTTTTCGTACTCCCGGGCGGATGGTGACGCCGTCGGGGTCTGGAGTGTCGCCGGCAAATGCACTACAACCACTGAAAAAACACTCGTTTAGCGGGCACTAGCGTGCTGAAAGCCGCTGAGAGGTGCTAATTTCTTATATTGCTGCGCCACTGTTGTCGACGAGACGGTCCAATTCGACGGCGTATTGTACCGAACGCTGGACGCGCACAGACGTCCTTGAGAAAATAGACAGAGGCACAGTGCTTGTTCGTCGGATTGCTTGAAATTGTACTAAATGGACTGAATTATTGTACTGTACATTCCTGATCATGGTATCATCGTGTCGGTGGATATTATGCCTCCGACCCTTTCCTTGTTTCCCCTCGGATTTCTGATGGTTTTCTCTTTCATGCCATCTCTTTGTCCTCGTCCCCCGCCGATGTTGCGTCGGGTCTAACTGTGGCATCGAGTGTTACATCGTCTGCAGTGTTGCCCGATACTGGCTCGCCTGCCGTCTCCGCCTCGTCTTTCTTTTCGGTGCTGCCCTCCTTCTCCGAGGCTGACGAAGCCGACGACGCCCCATTGCCCTTCTTGGACCGTGAGAACATGGACGTGCCCGGAATGAAGGTCGACGCAGACTTCGACATGCTGGACATGGCAGACATTGTGGGCATAGCCATGGAGGACATGGAGGGAATCGAAGACCGCGACAGGCCGTCGATGCGTGGCATCTTGGCCGGCAGCTGCGACGACCAGTCGGACACACGCTTGAGACCTGTGCCGGCATTCTGGGCAACCGACAGGAGATGCCGCAGGTAGGTGGCGCGGTCTTCGGGTGGCATGTCTGCGGCTGCGGCTGTAGAGCCCGGCCCGACAAGATCGTTGTCGTCGTCTTCGTCGTCGTCAATCACAATGGCTGAAGCAACATTGCTGCCCTTCGCCTCGTTCTCCTCGCCCTCGCTATCGCGCATCAATGACGCCGTGGCAGCAATGTCGATGGGTGACTCGTCCGGCAGGTCCTTTTCGGCGTCATTCTGATTGTCGTCCGTCGATGCGCCAGCCACATCGTCGGCGCCTTCTTTGCGGGCCACCTCAGCTGCTGCCGCCATCCCCGAGTTGCTGCTTCCCTCCACAATCTCAACGCCCTCGTCCGTCACCCGGATAGAATCCTCTCCCGTCGCATCCTTGTCGGCTTCGGCCGCCTCATCAGCTAGCATAGGGCCCAGCGTGTCCACAATGGGGTTGTCGTTGCCAAACCAGCTGGCAACAAGCACGGCAGCGCGGCCGGTGAAGGCATCGTAGTGAGGGTTTTTGTCGCGCTTGAAAAGGCTGATGTGCGCCTGCACCTCGTCTTCGCACGTCGGCATAGTCCAGCGCTCGAACATGGAAGAAATGGCCGTCGTTTCGGTTTCACTGTTGTCTGGCTGGTCTTGGCCATTGTCGGTCGTGTCTTCCTTCTCCTCTTGGTTCGTCTTCGCTGCTTCGTCCACAGCCTCCATGTCATCTCTGTCTTTCGCGGCGTCTGGCCCATCTTTCTCTTTCTCTTTCTCGTTCTCGTTCTCGTTCCCTTTCTCGTTCTCTTTCTCTTTCTGTTTTTCCTTCTCCTTCTCCTTCTTTTCTTTTTGTTTGTCTTCTGGCACTGCACAGAATGTCCGCTCCGGCACAAAATACCCGCCGCTCCAGTAGCCGTTGGCCCCCAACGACACATACAAATCGTGCACGCCGATGCCGCCCTGCAATCCACCCAGTCGTTGCAGCCGCCTGTTCAATTCAGCCTGCTTCAGGAGCGCGCCCACAAACGTAAAGTGCGCTGACAGCCATGCAAACGACTCGCCCACGTTGCGCCGGTTGATGTATGCCAGGCCCTGGCCGATGGCGTCGACGCCCGACTGGTAGCCCTCGCGCAGGCTCTGCCGGTCCATGCGGCGCACCTTTTCCACGCCGGCCATGATGGCCTTGCGGTGTGTGTAGGCCGCGACGCCGCCGGCCGCAATGGCGCCGACCGTGCCGGAGCGCACAGCCACGAGCTGCCAGACTTTCCAGCCGGCGCTGGCGGCGCCACGCGCAGCACTTCCACCACTACCGCCTCCGCCGCCACTGCCACCACTGCTCGACGGCTTGGCAGCACGGCCCATGGCCAGCCGTCCTAGGGCGACGGGCCCTGCAGACAGCGCCGTCATCACATTGAACACGGTCTGCACCTTGCTGTAGTTGGAGAACGCGCCGTAGACGAACATGGACCGTGACAGGCCGTTGTAGGGCGTGTCGAGCGCCAGGAGGCCCTGGATCGGCGGGAAGAGAGCCGTCGTGTTGTCCGCCGCCCCGGTCTCTTGCTCGGCCGCCCGGCGCTCGTCGAGCGCCAGGAACAGCGCGTCGGCCGCGACGAACCCGCCCATGGAGTGTGCGACGAGCACGACGCCCACCTGGCGGTCATTGGGCGGCCACGGCGTGTCCAGGTGCTGCTTGCGGATGTCCATCACGCGCGCCTTGAGCCACTCCAGAAACTGCTGGCTGGCCTCTGCGAGCTCGCCCTTGGTCTCGTAGCGCGGGTACACGACCGTCTCCACGCGGTCGTGGTCCGGCAGGATGCCGGCGACGGTGGATTTGAGGTCCTACACACAGTTAGATATTGCGTGCAGCAGAAAACGCAAGGACATACTACCGTGAGACGCACATCAGGAAAGCTGCGAAAGGTGTTGTCGCCGCCCTTGAAGCCGTGCACAAAGCACAGCAAGAGAATGCGTGGCATCTTGCGAGCCTTAGCGTCGGGTATATCGAAAAGAAAAGTCGAGTAGACGATGAGACAAGGTTGCCCAGGAATCCATGTTGTGAGAAGGGAACGTGTTCCTCGACAACGAGGCTACGTCAAAGGTTTTATTGTGAATGGTTTCGTTGAAGCAAGATCGCGCTATGGAGTGGCCTCCGGCCACTAAGCCGCTGTGGCGAAACGGTGACACCGCAACGTACGCACTAAAACACGTGTAAAGGCCGCTAATGTCCCACCCAAATCTTGGTTCGATAGCCCTGACGTATCAATTACAATCACTACATCTCCTTATGTCGTCATCCATCCTTTACGATCAGGTTTCGAGGTCGCTGTATCACAGCCAACAAGTTTGCATTGGATCGGACCAGACTTGACACTGTATTCAATGGCATTTATTGTTAATCGAAAGAGCTGTTTTATTTCATTGTATTCCAAACTTTATTATTTTAGGACCGCCAATAACACCTGGTTAATTCGTACATACATGCTCTCCGCCAAATTACTCGCATCTGATGCTCTAAAAAAATCAAATCCAAATCGCACACCTCTAAATCAAACCTTGTAGGTAAGGCCGGATGGAAAAGGCCGACCCTCCTTGGTTGCTATCATTGGCCCTGCTCGGCAGCCCAGGGAGAGGTCCGGCCGGAGGAATAGTCGGTTCCCGCTGCGTCCGGCTGCGTGACGATGGGGATGCCGCCGCCACATTTGCGGTAGCAGCCGGCGTGGCGCCGTATTGTGACACCGGCGCCAGCTGGCTAACAAAGTCGTGATACTCGCGGGCCAGGCTATCGGCGCTGTCCTTGTTGGTGTACCGACTGGCGGTTGTCTCCTTTGTGCGGGTGCTACTGCTGTTGTTGTTGTTGTTGCTATTGTTGTTGTTGAAGCTGGTATTGCCTGTGTAGTAAGCATAGTTGGTCGTATACAGAGCATTGCTTGCCTTGTTACCGGCGCTGCCTGCTGTGGTAGTCGCTCGCTGCATCTGGCTGCGGTTCCACTCCTCCTCCATGCGGCTGATGCGGTCGAGACCGCGCGGCTCCGAGCGGCTCCCCAGGCCGAAAGGTTCGTAGACGCTGGACGTCGGCCGAGGCTTGTATGTGCTTGTGGTTGTGCCTGCATTTGTACTGGACACAGGAATCATGCGGCTGGTGCGGCTAAAGTTGCGGCTTGCACGCACTTGATTCTGGCTCCGGTAGACGTTCAGAGGCGCAACGACATCACGAGCACTGCTGGTTGGGCTGCCAGCCTCAAAGAAGGTGGACCCGTTGTTGGTGCTGTTGCCGTTGTTTGCTGTAGATGGGTCGCCGCCACCAGCTGTCGTAAACGACCATGTCGAGAAAATTCGGTCGTTTGAGGACACAGCTGTGGCCGTTGGTGCGGTAGAGTCGGCCGGGGCAGCAGCCGAAGCCAATTTCGCTTTCGCTGCCTCCTCGCCTTCTGGAAAGACTCGCTCATACTCTGGAAGCTTGTACTCTTTCAGAGTGACTTCAGACGGCGGCGCGACGCGGCTGTCCATTTTGGGCCGTGTTGTCGAGGCCCGAATACGCCATTGGCGCAAGCTACCGCCGCTACTGCGGCTCTCGCCGGAGAGACCAGTGCCGCTGGCAGCGCTTGGGCTTCCTCTGCCGCTGGGCTTCTTCACCGTGCTGTTCGTGACGGCCGGCCGCCGCTTCCAGAACCAGAGAAAGACGATACATCCAAGAGATGCCAGACCAACAGCGCCCAGAATAATACCAGCAAAGGCGAGGACCACCTCGGGCGTTGTGCAGGCACCGAGCGCGTTGTTCTGCCGGTTGGTCTGCAGAATAGGCGGCTGGCTTTGTGGGGCTGAGGCTCCATTGGCCTCTGGGACTGTGCCGGGCAACCCTGCATCCGTTGCCGCAGTCACAGTCGCCGTCGGCAGATTGGCCACGGCCGCGGCCTGCTGGGCCACAAAGGAGGCGCTGGCGCTGGCGACAGCGGCCACCATGACGGATGACATGCTGATAGACATCACCTGCTCTGCCGAGGAGACAGACGCCAGCATGGATGCCGCGAGAGACGACGAGAGCGATGCCTGGGCGGACGCTGCCGACGACTGCGCGGAAGCCAAGGCTGATGAAGCACTCCGGCTCGCCTGGCTGGCACTGCGGCTCGCGTCGTCGGCACTCTGTTTCAGCGTGTTCACGGCCTGCTGTGCCGACTGGAGGCTTGTCTGCAACTGGGAGATGGTGCTTGACGCGGACGAGCTCAGTGATGTAAAACGGGAGCTGAAGGAGGAGGAGATGGATGACAACGAAGCAGAGTTGCGTTGCTGTTCTTGTTGTTCTTGCTGCTGGAGCTGCTGAATCTGAGCATTATTATTGTTGTTGCTGTTGCCATTGTCATCGCGAAGATGGATGAGAGCATTGCTTGGACGTGGCAGAGAAAACGTCTGGCATGGTAAGGTGAGGGATGCTTGTGCCACTGGTGCTGTTGTTTGTGGTGGACGAACAACACCGGCTGATGGCCCTGGCAAGCTGGCGCCACCGAGGGCGAAGCAAAAAACTGCAAACGTGTGTTTCATTATGGCGGGTGTTGACGAAGGAAATGGGTATCAATATGAAAATGAATGAGTACAGGAGACGTCCCGGGAAAGAAGGAAGAACACGATGGAAACCGAGAAGAAGAGAACACAGCGACCAGGTCAAAAGAGACGGGCAAGTCAGCGGTATTAAAGATAATGGAAAGCCAGGGAAGAAGGAAAGAAGTGATCCCGGTGTGGCCACATCGATAGACCCGGAACCGAGGCGGACCTCAGGAAGAGGGCAGAAACCAAGTGATGCGCAGGGTAAAGTCAGACCGTGAAAAGGAGCAGCAAAGAATGACAGAGTGGATGAAGCAGTAGAGGATGATACACCTCCTCAGACCTTGCCTCCAGGTCGGGTGATGAGATGTCCATGGCGAGCGATCTCTAGACACTCTGTTGCTCTCGTACCGCTCTCACCCCGTCTTGTCTGGCCTCGTCTGTACTCGGCTTCGCAGTTCCTTCTTCTCATGCCTCACATCGAAGCATGCGACAGCGTCGCAACCAGACAACGGAAACAGTCGAACTGGAGCTGGCTAAATGGGAAGAGACCAAGTGGGAACCAAACATCGTGAGAAGTTCTTGGCGACGCTGGGTAACCAGCAAACTCCCATCTCAAACACAGCTTGCCAGCTGGTCATTGGACAATGGACCGTGGGTGAGCATCATATTTGTGTTCTCGACGAATTAGCCGGCGTCGTCTTTTGTAGTGTGGGCTGGTAGACGAAGAAGCCGAAGCAATCCGGGGAACCGAATGCAACGTCTGGAGTCCATCTTGCGTGTTGGCCTCTGCCGAGCATCAGCTGCAAAACCCGGGCTTGTGAGGTCAAAAGGCGGTAGAGGTGACGTTAGCAGAGAAGAAAAGAAGAAGAAAAGAACACTGGAAGCGGAGAAGCAATGGCTGTACCAAACTCGGCAGTAGAAAATGAATGCAAATGTACCGGTACATGTGTGATCGCCGCCGGGTTGCCTTGCGCTTGTTGAGTCGTACGAGGATGGCGGAGGGTGGCATAAGAGGCAGCTTCAATAGATGCGAGAAAGAAAAGAACCAGGGGTGACCTTGACCTCAGATCGCATGCGTACTCATCACAGCAACTCTGTGGCGTCAAGATCGGCGATGCATGAAATGCAAACGACATTAGCAAGGGGCAAGAGGAAAGTCGAGAGACTGTGGGGCCTTTGGAAGCATAGAAGGAACAAAGAAGGAAAGAGGAAGAAGGAAAGAAGGAAGGAGAAAAGGAAACGTGCGAGGGAAGGCTCGACCCAAAAATACACAAATAAAAAAGGAGAAAGAACGGATGGCGTCCAGCTACCCGGCGTGTGGGGCAGGAGCGATCGTGTCTTCTCGGCCGACGCCGTTTGGTTCGGCTGATATTGAAAGTCTGAGATTCTTCACGCCAAATACTCTAAACACGCCCAATTTCGATTTTTCAAAGCCCAGCAGGCAAACTTCTTCCCTTGCCGTCTTCTTTTCATCATGTGTCTAGTATTGTGTTCTCGGTTTTCGTCTCATTTCGACGGCACATTCTGCTTAGGTTTGTTTATTTTGCCTTCTTTCTGATTCATCCATGTGCCGTTATTTTTGCCAAAATTCCAGGTCATGAGAAGAGAGTTGCGAAAGCAGGCCAAGAAACAACGGGCACGCTCGTGTTCTCAAAAGATATAAAGATGTCGACAAGATGACTATGGGGCCGCACATTGAAGAAGAAGCAAAGTTGCTCTCGTTTGCTATCGCGTTTCTCCATGTAACCTCACGACTCTCCGTTCATCTCAAACTTCAGAGACCCTGCATTTCATCCTAACTTGTCACCTCGTCCGCACTTTGATGCTCCTTCGTCTCTGACCCTGTCCCTGTTTGCTTGTCGCTTCCTTGCCTTTGATCAATGTCTGACCGCATTAGAGTTTGAATGCAACACCTACTTTATTCGCTTTCTTTTCTTCCTCTTCTGTTTTCCGTCTTTCCTCCACCCTTACCTTCTGGCGTGCTGGCCCTCATTTCATCCCTCCTCTCCGCTCTTCCGTGCTTGATCGACGACTGGCAGCCCCTGCTTCCCCAGATCACCACCCAAAGACTTAGCTTACATTCACATGTATCAGCACATTGTAAACCATCGCGTATTTTTTAATGTGCCGTTCCCCAGCGACAATTTAGACGTACCAAATTCCAAGCTGGTTGGTTCAGCATCTCCATCTGGGGTCTCCATTCACGACAAATGCTCACGGCCTAGTGGTTCGGCTGATACTTGTCCAAAGACCAGCCGTGCCTGTAGCGACCAAAAACAATCATTTCGTCTCAACACTTTGCCGTACCAGTAGAATGGGACACCCTGGGCAAAGGCCACTTACGGCTTGTCTGCTTTGCCTGTCGACTCGATGTTTGAGAATGTTTTATCAAAACAGGCATACCAAATACACACATTTTCTCGCCATTGCATAGTTCACTGTTTGGTTTTACCGACTCGGCGATGCCGCAATGAACCCGGCTATTTATTTATGACATGATACCTAATGTACATAATTACAGGAAACTAATGGTTTTGATCCAAAACATGTCCATTTCTAAAAGAAAAAAAAGAGAAAGGAATGAAAACCCACAGTATCAAATTTTGCTCTCATTTTGACCACCCGCCATTTCTAAGTCTTCGTGATGAACCTTTGCCCAACGTGCAGCTGCCTCCGTGAGAGCAAACTCGGAAGCCAATTCGCTCGTGCGCACGGCGTAGTCCACAAATCCGACCTCGGCAATGGCGCCGGCGGCGACGATGACGCGGCGGTACACGTCCGTTGTTGGATCCAAGACGTCCGTGTTGAGCACGTTGGGGCCGACAATCATGATTGATGAGGGCGACGTCTGGATAGAGGGCGACACGTCCATCGCGTGTGTTGTATGCGTTGCTTCGAAGGATGCGCATGAGGCGGATGCTGTACACGCCGTCGTTGTCCGTCTCCTCTTTCCCCTCGTCGCCGAAGCGCACCTCGTGGCAGGACAAGTACGTTTCTTGCTGGTTGGCTGTCAGCCGCGCATCTACCATTGTCGATGCGCATATTGGTGGTAGTTTTGCATGCGTAGCACGCACACCGCTGATATACAGAGTCGCCAAGGATAACAGCCCAAGAATTGCCATATTTTTGTCATCTTATCCGGACGGGTTCATGGTTCACCAGAAAGGGAATTTCATCCAGTCAGGCGCATTTTGCCATGGCTCTGAGTTCTTAAGCCTGGCCAACTCCTCGTGCGTCGTCGCTTGTTTCATGTCAACTCCCCTTTGGCATTTTCCCACTCAACTCACAATGAGACAAAATAACTCAAGGACCGTGTGCACAAGCAACGACGTGACGAAATTATGTCATCCCTTGCAAATACGGAGCAATTGAAAGGCATGAGAACCTGAGTGATAAACTATGAACACGTGAAATTTGTCAATTTATGCTCCAGAGGAAGCAATGTATAAAATGCACGCAAGGCCTTGAATTTAGCTTGTAAGGAGTAAGCACAGGCGAACTAGAAAGGCGCCTTGATCTCCTCTTAGCAAGGAGTATCAGCTATATATGACATGCTGTCTATCGCCGTGCAGGCAAAGTAGAAACGGCGGTAAGCAATGTTGGCCGATGTTTGTGAAAAACGGGATAAAACATATAGCAGCTGTATGTCTGGCTCTCCCTGCTATTGTGCTTTTTAATATTCGTAAAATAGTACCAAAAATAAAACATGCCTGCCAAACGCGTCTAGATTTCGGTCTAATCTTCCCAGCCGTGATGGCTATGTCAATGATAAAGCTAAAACATAAATAAAAGTGTTTGTTCTCTGCACTCTTTCCATCTGCTCCGGTTTGCTTGGTTTCTTTGCGCCTGCGTCTCTCCAAGTCCAAAAGTCAACATCTCCAGCACAGCTGACCATGCAGCTCCTTTCGCCCCTCGTTCTCCTCGCCCTCGCGGCATTGGGGATGCCTGCCCAGGCACAGAACGCTACAGTGCCCACCCCCGCCGCACCCGGCCTCGATTTCTTGTTCAGCTGCAACGTCTCCGTGGGCCTGTCCGTCAAGGTCGGCACGGGCGTCAAGAACACGACGCGCGCCGTGTTCCCCGTGTACGGCGGCCAGGCCATCGGTCCCCGCGTGCAAGGCAAGGTGCTCGAGATCGGTGCGGACTGGGCGTCGTACGGCACGCTGCTGAACGGCGTCAACGTGGCCGACGACGACACCGCGAGCAAGAACCCCAATGCCACGAAATACTTTGCGACGGACGCGCGGTTCCAGCTCCTGACGCTGGACGGAGCCAACATTTTCGTCGCGACACAAGGGCAGACCGCGCCGGGGACGACCACCGGCGCGGTGCATGTGCGCGCCACCCTCGAAACGGCGAGCGCGGCCTACAGCTGGGTCAATGGCATTTTGGTGGTGGGCGTCCTGCGGACGAACAGCGACGGCTACCAGATTGATCTGTGGCAGTTGACGACGCCCTAGTTGGGCGGCGAGGAGGAGGACCACAACGACAAGCGGCGTGCGCGAGGCAACCTCTACGGGTGATGGGGAACGGGAGACGAAGGCAGAGATTGCTCCGATGGTTCTGTAATTTTTACAGCTGGAAAAATTGTATCCCGAAAAAGATCACAACTATTTACACTTACGGTGGATCTGATGATCAGAGTCAAGCGATCTTGACATGTCTCGTTTAGCCTATTGTTTCCGCTTTAAAGGATCCTACTTTTGTATTTTCTTATCCGTTCACTTTCAACACGCCCCCTCATCTTGTGCCGTGCATGCTTCCGATTGCATTTGTTCAGGAACCAGGTCGGCCCTATCCAGTGCCATGCCATATGCCATATATGGGTATAGCATAGATGGGATCTGGTATTGTGAGCAGCGTCCCGTAATATTGAGAGCCGCGTGCAATATGCTAATAATAGAAAATAGGTATGAAAATAGGTATGAAATAGTGATACATTTGAATGCGGCGTGGATACGGTCCACAGATAAGTGACGTTGAGAGATTTGTCTTGTAAAGAAAAAGGAATTGTGAGAATAACTGCCATAAAGGCGTCTGCCCCTGAACAAATGCAAGCGAAATCGAAGATGACGAGCTGGATGCTACCAAAAATAAACCAATTTGACTAGATAATATCCAAACCGACCAATTCTATCCCGGTATTGTGTCCAAGCGAGAGGATCCAGCCAAAGCGAGGAAACCGGATACATCGTAGACAGGTCTAGAACTCGGCGGGTATTCTTGCCAACTTACCTCCTGGTGAGTTGGATCGGTACGAGACCTTTTGGACGATGCTCGGCGTCTTATTTCGTTTTTACAAGACGTTCACCGTGCATGTGGTCTTGACCTCAGGAAGGGAGCCTACCTGACCATCGTTTTTGCCTCTAGCCACACTGGACACTGGACGCCTCAACAATGCAGCTCGCTCAACTGATAACATTCTGTGCGGCGTACATCGTCACCGTACACGCGGATGTCGGCGATGGCAGCGTCTCGGGTACACGCCTGCCCATGCCTTCCCGGGACCCGTGGATGACCACACCACCGGCGGCCGGGTGGGAGTCTGCGGCACTGGGTACGGTGCTTAAAGTGCGCCCGCACGCGTACAACATGTCCAAGGCGGCCGTCGGCTTCGAGGGCTACCGCGACGTGTTCCAGCTGATGTTCCGGTCGTCGGACAGTCACAGCCAGCCGATGGTGGGCGTGACGACCGTTTTCGTGCCGGACGGACGCGGTGGCGACGGAGCCCGCAATGGGTCCGCATCCCATGTGCCCGTCCTGTCGTACCACCCGCCATACGACACGGCGTGCATCGACGCCAGCCCCAGCTACGGGCTGCAGTTTGGCGAGCCGTACGGGGAGATTGCGTTGGCCCTCAAGCGCGGCTGGTTTGTGTCGGTGCCCGACTACGAGGGTCCGCAGGCAAGTTATGGCGCCGGCGTGCTGGCCGGGCACGTCCTGTTGGATGCCACCAAAGCGGTCGTCGCCACGCTGCGCCAGGGCGTGCCGACGTCCGCCGACCTGCCCACATTCAGAAACACGACAGCCACGCCAGCCACGCACAACGTGACCGTTGCCTTCTGGGGGTACAGCAGCGGCGCCGGGGCCACAAACTTTGCCCTCGAAATGGCCGACGCGTACGCCCCCGACTTGGTGCTGCACGGCGCCGTCGTGGGCGGCATGACGGCCAACCTCACGCACAGCCTCGAGCTGCTGAGCGGGCGCGACGTGGCCGGCTTGCTGGCGCAGACGCTCTTGGGCATCACGACGCAGTACCCGGACCAGAAGAAGGTCCTGGACGACAGCCTGTGGCCCTCGGGCGTCTACAACGTGAGCGAGTTCTACAGCGCGCGCAACATGAGCGGCTGGCAGTCGCTGGTGCACTTTGCGTACCAGAACATGTTCTCGTATTTCCGGGAGAGCCGTGCCTCCATTTTCGGGCCAGCGTCGATGCGCGAGATGCTGAAGACGGAGGGATGGGCCGGGCAGTACGGCACACCGCCACGGCGGACGCGCACGCTCTACTACCAGGCCGTGGGCGACGAGATGTGCCCGGCGGAACAGGTGGACCGGCTGGTTGACTCGATTTGCGCGGCGCGCAAGAACGCGACGGCATCGTCGTCGTCGTCGTCGTCGTCGTCGCCGCCGCCGTCGCTCTTCCTCTACCAGCGAAACCTGGTTGGCGGACACAATGACGAGCTGAGTAATGGCCGGCAGCGGGCGCTCGATTTCCTTGGCGAGGTCTTGGACGGGACGCAAACGGCCATGACAGCCGGCCTACCAGCGACGGGATGTGTGATACAAAACGTGTCGGTGTCTGTTGATCCCAATGGGCCGTTTCACTAGAGGTTGTTGAGGGGATCTGACGTGTGACGCAGAGGATCGGAATGTAAAGTACGAAGTACGGAAATAGCTTAAATGGAATTCGTGACAATTCTGTCTACGGCGCGTGTTGTACCACCGCACAGAGACCCGTAGCGTGTTTAGCGGTACATGGCGGGACTCTGAGCCGCTCCCAGCCCCCATTCCTTCTGTATTTTACTGCTTAGACAGGCCACACGTCATCGGCGCAACGAAAAGCTTCACTCTATTTACATTGTCACAAACGCCACGTCAAACACCACATCGCACAATGGCATCGCGACCCGCAAAACCGGAGAAGAGCGCCTCCCGTGCGCCGTTGACGCAGTGGTACAACTCGGGCGCTCTCTCCACGCTCTTCGTCGTCGCGGCGACGTATCTTTTCTTCGCCGTCACCTATCAAGCCAGCCATGTGTTTGGTTTGTCGGTGCCGCTGTTGTCGCGGCTGCCACGGCCCTCGTTTCTGCAGCCCAAGGCCGCTGCCATCCCGTCACATGCCCAGGTCATTGACCAGCGGGCATTCAATGCGCTGCCTCACGTCCCGCCGTCGACTGAGTTCAATGGCACCGGCAAGGTACTGCGCTCCCCTCTCGTCCGGCCCAGCTCATCGCTCCTTCTTTGGCATACCTTGCTGACATAACCACCTTCCTCCAGCCCTTTATTCCACCTGGCCACACCTTGGACTCTCTAAAGGCGCGCCCCTTTCACATCTACGACCCGGCCTTTGCGGCCCTGCTTGGCCCTGATCCGACGCTGACGCGCATTGCCGTGTCGGACAAGGACCCGCTCTTCCACGAGGCCGTCGTCTGGTCGCGTGGCACCGACGAGGTGTTTTTCGTGCAGAACGCCGGGGCCCCCGACGCCGGCACTGGTCTGGCCAAGTCGGCCATTATCCAGAAGATTTCGCTGCGGGATGCGCAGGCGGCCGCCGACCGCAAAAAGGCCGGCGCCGGTGATGCCGACACCGTGGTGCCCGTGGCCGTGGTCGACGCGTCGCCGCAGGTCGTCAACCCCAACGGCGCCGCCAACTACCGCGGCCAGATTCTGTTCGCCGGCGAGGGCATGGGCCCCGACGTGCCCTCGGCGCTCTACGCCATGCACCCGCGGCCGCCCTACAACACCACGGTGCTGCTCAACAACTACTTTGGCCGCCAGTTCAGCTCGCTCAACGACGTCGCCGTCCACCCGGCGTCGCGCCACGTCTACTTCACCGACACCCTCTATGGCTTCCTGCAGGACTTCCGGCCCGCCCCCGGCCTGCCCAACCAGGTCTACCGCTGGAACGACGCCACCGGCGCCGTGACGGTCGTGGCCGACGGGTTCACGCTGCCCAACGGCCTGGCCTTCTCGCCCGACGGCCGGCACGCCTACGTCTCGGACACGGGCATGCACCACGGTCTCCGCGGCTTTGACGCGCGCGACCCGGCCACCATCTACCGGTTTGACGTCCGCGCCGACGGCACCTTTGACAACCGCAAGACGTTTGCCCATGTCGACGCGGTCGTGCCCGATGGCGTCCACTGCGACGCCGAGGGCAACGTCTACGCCGGCTGCGGCGATGGCGTCCAGGTCTGGAACCCTGCGGGCACGCTGCTCGGCAAGATTTTCCTGGGCACCGGCGCCGCCAATTTTCAGTTTGCAGGTGCCGGTCGCATGGTCGTCTGTGCCGAGACGGAGCTCTACTACGTGACACTGGCCGCTGTCGGCGCGGTTGTTGAGGAAGAGATGTAGCTGTAGCCATACGATTGCGAGACGATGGCAGGACGGAAGAATACAGACCGGCAACGTCGTTCAGAAAGGAAACTTCAAAACTCCATCCCAGGGAAGGAAAAGGTGCCTAGTTTTAATCTTTGAAGAAACAATGAGCTGCAGGTGACTGTGATTGAGACCATGAACCAATTCCGCGGTTTTATTCGTTTCGAGAATGGCGTCAGGACGACGACGACGGCGACGACGGCGACGACGGCAATGATGGACGTTCCTTGGTCCCGTTCAACGCCGTCACCAACACGACTGCGGGCGACTCGTCGTGCCTGCGCTGATGGAAGCAGCAAACACCTTCTCCATAGCCATTTCAGTTCAAAATACACTTAGTACCTTGTATTACTTCTGTCGTAGCCACTACACATTACCTCTGCCATTTACCGGGTCCAGTCAAGTTTAATGGATCCGCTCGATCTCGACGCATTCCAGTGCCCCTGGCAGCTGGCACCTGTCAGTTTCTCTCCCTTTCGCCCTTTTGCCTTCACCCTGAGATCGCGATGCATCACGTCGCAAAGGGGTACGTCGTTGCCGGAAACGACGATACGCACAAGGGGGAGGCGGTGAAGGGCGCGACTCTGATGTCGTTTGACGTAGGGAGAGAATGGAAAGAAGAATGGGTATAAGGTATAAGCCAAGGCGAGAGGGTGCAGTTTGCTCCCAGGGGGGTTCTAACAAGGGAGAGTAAGGCGATGAGACAAAAGGGAGTTGACCACAAGGGAGGGACCAAACAAAAGTTGACAGCTGTGGAGTTACAACATTGCCCTGTCACTAATTTTGGTCGACGGAGCAAAGTGTTGGCAGCACGATCCAAGATCCATGGGCTTTGCCGATTGAAACCACAGCCCTCCGGCCGTTGATGGAATGTGGGACATCGTGTCAAGACAGCTTGAGATGGATGGCTGGCAGCGTGAGGGAAGCGGGAAGGCCTAGCCAAGAAAAAAAAAGAAAAGAAAAGAAAAGAAAGCAAGAAAAATCAACACGCCAAAAACGGCCCATACCCAACCCCCCAATAGGCAAAGAAGGTTCTGCAGTCTGAGTCCCCACTGCGCCCATTGACCTTAGCTGAACGGGGTAGAAAAGGAGTATTGCTTCACTAAAGTAGACATAATTGGCGTGAGACCTTGGGCTGCCAAAAAAAAGCCCCTCCCGCGTACCGTACGCCTGCCGAGGGCACTGCCGGAGACTACCCCGTTCGCTCTATACTCTGTCGGCTGCGGATCTCCGTCTCCTCCCCCATAAGGCTCTGAGACCGCACTCCACCCAGGGGGAGGAGGCTTGACAGACGGAGGGAAAACATGGCGGCGAGTATTACAGCAATGGGAAAAAGACCGCCCGCTTCCAGACGCCCAGCGATCCGAAAGTCCCCGGGTCGTCCATCGTTGTTGATCCCTGCTGGTCCGCCGAACCGGAGCTCATGGGGGAAACGAGCACCGACAAACGGCCCAGACCGGTTCGTTGTGTCTCTATCAGTCCACATAAGACAGACCGCCTGCCAGGTCAAGCCGGAGAGAGTCCATGACGACGCAACTCAAAAGAAACTGCAAATACGAGGACCACCAAATATGGTCGAGACAGTCTGTAATTATGCTTACGTCGTCTGACCTGTTCAAAACACAAAGATGGTAGGGTCCTGTCGGATGCAGGGGGGAGGTTGCTTTTTTCTTTGCTTTTGCTGATATGGAAAGAGACTGGTGGAGGAGCGTTCGAGCAAGGCTTACGAGTACAGAATGCCGACACTTGTAAACAAAAGAATGTGTCGTGAAAACTCCACGACCGGGAGCCGGCATTAAATCTCATCTTATGCAAGACAAATAACAAACTAGGTGTTGTACGAATGGATCTATTTGCGAGTAAAAGTGTGGATGGGTGGATTTGGACAGCAACTAGCAGGGTCCTTTTTTGACAGTTTGGCCACTGCCGGTTGAGTTGTACCGGAACGATGCGCACTTTGGGTTTAGTCGAGGCCTCTAGGCACGGGAACGACAACACCATAAAATAGGAGAGGTAAAACATGGGATTGTGTTGGTCCGAAAGCAAAAGATGCAGTGGCCGCAGTGCGACTTTTGATTCACAGCCAATGTCGAGTTCAAGACCTGATCGAGCTGTCAAGTTGGGTGGCGTTGTGACTCTTGATTTCCCCTTTCTTTCTTTCCTTTTTTTCCCTCTTGCCCCTTGCCGCTCTTGATCCAGAGTTGTGCCCTCCTTGCTTCCACGTAGTGGCATTTCGCGACCTAACGGTTGCTTTCTTTGTCTGCGGAGAGCCTTGTCCGTTTTTTGTTCTTTGGTTTCTGCATTTCAACTTTTCCAGTACAGGGGTGGGTTTGTTGGGCCTTTTGTTTATGACTAGCCCCGCCGGCTTGTCTGTTTGTCATTTCAATTCTATTTTCTTTCGTATCACCGGCCACATATCTCGCCCCTTGCATATCTCCTTATGCCGCCTTGTTATTGGCAGCCCTCCGGCAAAAGAAAATCGAGTTGGTTGATTTTTCACAACAACAATTTCATTGCATTGCTTCTCATTCGTAACTCGTCGTGCCTGGCTCCTCATCCGTCCCAATGATTTGTTTTTTGTCCATGACGAGGCTAAAGCTGCAGTCATTCTCACTCATCTGACTGGCTGTTGGGCCAACAAATCAACGAGGCGCACACCTAATGCTGGCCTGTCTCACAGTAACAAATGAAGAGTTTAATACTTGTTTACGGCCTGTCGTCAGCCGTGAGTCGTCAGCCGTTGCAATTCGTTTTCTCTGGGCGTACCTCGTACAACAGCTCGTGAAACATCAATTTCCTTCCTTCTACGGAAGCGTACCTATTAATTACTGCATGATGTCTGCCGATCTACTCTCCATTGTACGTAGTCTTTCCCTCGTCACTGTCCACCGTATCCCACTTCCCACGCTGTTCGTACGTGGGCGTCCAGGGGGTGGTTTTTGTGCTTCATGCTTCGCCTCTGGATTGCGTCTTTTATTTCCCTTTTCTTTTCTTTTTGCCTACGGTGTACTTCGTAGGCGAGCATAAGATTGGCAAGTTTGGACCGGGGGTTGCGAAGATGAGCGACGACAGCGGAAGCGGACCAGGTGCCGTCCAGGGATCCAAGATGACCAACTGGCCAAAAAGAGATAAAGACCTGCAAAATGATGTTAGAGAACAAGGAGAGACAAAAGGAAAAGACGGAGAGGCCACGGCAAAGGCAGGAGACGTCAGCCAGAAGAGGCAATGTAGCATGCGAGGCACGGAGGGCTACTTTGGCCGTCGTTGCATGAGATACATGTGCAGTGTCGAACATTGGTAAACAAGCACTCGATTTCCGTACGTTCCGATATTTCTTTTCTTTTGTGTCCTTGTCTCTTTCTCACTTCTCGATGCTTTTCTTCTTTCTTTCTATCCCCCGTCTGTCAGTCTCCATCTGCCTGCCAGTCTCATCCCTTTCTCTCACATTCTCCTGTCTTCTCTACCTATTTCTCCCTGTCCGCCAAAATCAAGGTCAGAGGGCACCATTGAAAACGGAGCAATGGGCATCGCCAATGCCACAATACCACACATATCAAGGGCAACATAATGACGATCAAATGGCCGGCTGCCCTGCGCAAGTCAGTGGCTCGAGTGGCCTCCAGGAGCCCCGCGCGCCTCTGTCGAGCTCTCCCGGCAACGGTGCCTGGGGGCGCCCAACACTAGCGATCTGCCGCGGCGGGCGCAAGGCTCGTCGGTGCTAGCAGGGAACGCCCCGCCCAGGCGACTGCCTCTGAGTGGCCCGCGTAGAGCCTAGCTCGCCTGGTCAGGGGGTTTGAGACAATGCTCTGCCCTTGCTTCAACGGCTTTTGCAGGGCGCGCCCGGACGCGTTTTTTGTGGGCGGCGATCGGCGGTTCTGAGGCGTTGGCCCGGGCGCTCAGAGCAGAGAGCGTCTGGCGAGGTAGTGAACGTTTTTTTTTTTTTTTTTTTTTCAAGCGTCTTTCCCATGCCTCTCTTTTCCCTTCCTTTTTGGCCGTTTGTGCCTTTGCTGTTGTTCGCTCTTCCACGCCGCTCTCTCGCTGCCTATGCTTCTTTTTCTTTTTCTGTCTTTTTATTTTTAAATTTTATTTTGGCTGCCTCCCCCGGCTCCCTGTGATGCACCCTTGGATGCATGTGCCGATCACAATTGATAAACGTCATCTGAAGCCACCATGGGACTAAGTTGGGGCCACTGTGTGCACTCTCATTGACTGGCAAAAACGACCGGTTCAGAGTAAAAATATTGCTTTGCACATAGGTGCCCTTCACGGGTCTGGATTCTCATCTGCATTCTCTTGCCACGAGAAAAAGAAAGCAGAAATATAATAGGAGCAAAACAGCCGACCCAAAAGAAACGAGCAAACTCGAAGCGCTGGACACTGGCCGGTCCACATGCAGTGCACCTTTCTGTGGGGAAAGGAATGCGGTGAAGTGGTTATGACGACGTGGCTGCCGAGGGATGTTGCATTGTGTGGGAGGAAGTGCCGTCCTGTTGGTTCGGTTGGGCTGACCCCCTTGAAACGTCGTACGACATACCGTCGCGCATTTGTCGAATTTTGTGCCTTTGGCCGTCCTCGGGTTGTGAAGGATAAGAGAGTAGATAAGAATAGTTTGTGGATTGTGTTCGTTCGGAGCATGTCGTATGTTGCCCAGAAAATAATAAAAGCACATGCAGTTTGGGACTGTGCTTTGACGTTGTTTTTGACTTATTCGACTTTAAAAAAGCAAAAACTAGTGTGAAGCTATGTCCAGTCGGGACAACCGCCCGTTGTTTTGTGCAACGTCGAGCCAAGGCCCAAAGCTGGCGGGCTCAACGCCATCGACGCCATCGTGCGCACATGCCCCGTCGAACGTCCTGCGGGATCCCACTATACGTTGGGAGATTGACCACACGTGCTCTGCGTTGGTCTGCTCGTCGGACCCGATTCTACTCTGGCACTATCTACGGCCTACTCCGTAATTTGTTTCCTAATTTCTG